GAGGAGTGGTCCTCGGCAAATGAAATTACTGATAAACTTTTCTTATAGCCAAATAAACTTAATTTGAAGAAAAGCTGAGATTTTTATAGTATGGCTCAGCTGAAGAAAAATCGATAGTTGAGTAACACTTTGTTTTGGCTTTTTTCCTAACTAGCAATTACTTGATCTTAGTAGGACATCCAGGACTGCATAAATATGTAAATAGAAAGGCCCTGCATATGCGTGCATGCATTCAGTATCTAAAAATAGTTTTCCTTGAACAGGATTCAATTCTGACTTTACTTGCTTCACTTTAAACATGGAGCAGACTCTGTGTGGAAAAACGAATGCCCTTTTATTGGCCAGCTAGAATTCGTGTTGCTTGGCACTACCTATTTTCAACTCTTCAGTACTATTTACTTCCATTTAGTCAGCAGCAATATATTAATCTATTTCTGTACATGAAGGAATAAAGAACATATGGCCTAGGAAAAGCATTTGCAATTATTTGGCTTTTTCTTTCTTTTCTATATTTTCCAGCTTCTTTTGCTGATTTCCACCTACCCTTCCTTAATTCTAAGTTCAACATAAAAATTGTGGAGTTAATATTTTTTAAACATGGTATTTAATATACCAGATTTAATTCCTTTTTCTAACAGAAGAATTGACAGAAAAATACAGCATTGAATAAGACTGTAAAATCACATTCTGAGGGTTCAAAAGTACAGACACGTACAGATTCTCCTGTGCCAGTTAAGAATGTTGATGACCCGCAGTTGCATGGTGATTTTTTGTTCTGAGTTCAGACCAGTAACAAGTTTTTGAGGAAGGCAAGCATTTCCTTGTCTTGTTTTCTGCTTGCTGGGAGTTGGTTAACAGGAAGCACATGGCAAGTGCAGTGAAATGTCAGGGGAGGCACAGGTCTGAATTTCCATCCATAGATGTATGTAGAGTGTGTGAATTGTATGGTAAGGGCTAAACTGCTGCCTGTAGAAAATGTTTCTCTTTCTTCCCAGAACAGGAATGGCAAAAGTAAAAGCTCATGTAAGGATTTTTATCCTTGATGACTAAATGTTGATATCTGCTGGCCCTTCTGAGAGCGATGCCAGTCCGTCAAGCACTGAGAGCTGGGATTTGTATAAAGTGGAAGCTGCCGTTGAGGAGCTACTGGGCACCATCCACTTGTTCCACTGGCACCATCAGAACAGTCATAGATGGTGATTTATTTGCAACCCACAGAGATGAAGTTTAAACTCAAGGATAATGGCTGAGTTCTGAAGGGAAGCATCTCTAATGCCATGTCTCCTGCTAACTAGGCATTGAGAAATACAAAAATGAAAGCAGTTTATCAATGAAGAGATTTTACAAAGCTGGTGTGCTTTTAGGCTTTGCAAGGGTATCTGGAACTTACTGTAGAGTTTGGTGGGCCATGGTAGCAATAATTGAATGAGAAGATGACTGTTATTCTAACTTTGATATAGAGCACAATAAAACAAATCTTGATTTTTAAAGTAGTATGTGATGTCCAAACTCATTAGGAAAAGGCTATAAAGTTTTAAGGTAGTTCTTCTAAAACTGGCACCTGATACAATTTTTGTTTCATGAATTTTGATAGGTGATAGTATTTCATGTGTAGCTAATCAGTATATGTTCTCTTGTTGGCATTTCCCTGCAGTAGGTTTTATTCCAGTTCTGATTGTCAACACAAATTTCTCCAGTTAAATTCAGGTTTTACTTATAAAACAATAGAAGCAAAGCTATTTTAAAAGACCAAAAGGGTCTGAAGACAGGAAGAGGAAGAATAAAATCACAGCAATACTCTGTGTAGCGTAGTCACAGTGGTGTCAGAGGCTGTTACTCAAATCTCTGGTCTATTCTGCCAATGTTCTCACCTCCAGCAGCAAGAGTTTTGAGACAGGATCTGTGCACCAGAGTCTGTAGCCTTAGAGGTGTTGAGGAGGAATTTTCCAGCATGCTGTACAGATAGAATAGCACCTGGCAGTTCAGCAGGAGTTAGTTATAATTGAAATCGCTCTATCATTTGATAGCAATATTTTAGTTCTCATGAAGTGGTTACATGAAGACCAGGTATTTGTGCCAATGTCATTACTGAAGAATGGAGTAGGTCAGCTGAGCTTGCCGCTCAGCGTGTGCTGATCACTGCATGGCACTGCTTTCACTGGAACTGAACCACTTGTCTGTCTCTGTGTGCCTGAGGCTTTTACACCTATGTGTGCCTTCCTACTCCTGCTGTTCACCTGAAGGTTTCATATCTCAGCTTTTTATCGATATTTAAATTTGTCATGATTTCGCTCATCTTGTTTCAATTTATTAGCTCAGAGTTTAAGTGGGGTAGCTGAGCTGAGGTGTCCTGCACAGGGCCAGGAGTTGATGATCCTGATGGGTCCTTTCCAGCTTAGGATATTCTATAGTTCCATGAGGCGTGGCTTACACGAGCATGGGATGAGGGTTGTTTCTGCACAGCTTGAAGAATGTTAAATTACAGATGGTTTATCATCTAGCAATGCCAGTGCAGCAGATCTTCAGTGAGTGGGAATTTGCTGGAGACTTCTACTGTTATCTTTGTGGAGATCAGGCTTACACCCACAGCATACAGACAACCTTTGCCTCAAAAAGTTGAAATTTACGTAGGTTTTGGCAGCTATAGGAATTGGAATTCAAAGACAAACTCCTGGGACCAAGTTGTGCAAAAAAAAAGAAAAAAAATATTTTGAGGGTTTTAAATTCTTGCAATATGGGAAGTGTTTTGCTTGGTAAGATGGTTGCATAAATTTCGAGAAACAGATTTAAAGTAATATTAGCAGTATCTGTGCATACAGTTATTTGTAGGGATAACTGAATTTGTTGTTTGTTGATGAAATAATGCTTGTCTGTCTGGGTGTTTCTCAGTAGAGTATTCACATAGATTGATTATATGACAGAGATGCAGGAAACCGTGGGGAAATGAGCCACCTGCAAATAAGCAAACCTGTAGTAGCAATGTACTTGAGGATTAGGGTTTCCAGGCATAAATTTTTATTTAAAAGGGGGTAAAATGTTATAAGTGTGTATACATGAACTTACAAAATAAAATTCTGACGAGCTTTAAAGTACAATGATCCCATCTCTGACCCAAAATACCTAAGCTATAAATAACTGGATTCCTGGAGACTATTCTAGGAAGGTACCCTGGACATGTGCTGTGATCATGTTGTTCTATTCATTCATTTTGCTAACTGCTGTTGGTAATGACTTACTACTGGATAGACTTAAAACTAGATAGGCTTTTGGTTTGAGCTCTCCCTGTGTTCCGAGTGTCCTCCCTTTACATACATTCATTTATTTATTTTCCCCACCATGTGGGGGGATTTGAAAGCTGAATTAGGTTATTACTCTTTGGGGATGTTGTTGGTATGCTATGGCTATAGGAGTTATTGCTGATGTTGCTTTGAACACCAGAGGGTAGAGGATGGCAATTCTGCCTTGTTCCAGCAGTTTGAAAGCTAGCCTGGAAAATCCCATCAGCATGACCTACTTTAGATACATCTTCAGTGGAAGTCATTAGTTAAATATCATAGGCCTTATGCTTTAAATTTCTTTACTGATTTCTCCCAGTTCTTCACATGTCTGTGTAGAAAAGGACTTTGGAGTCTGAATTTCAGTATTATGTTGTGTTTTGTAATATCTGCAACAACAAATTTTCCTCCCCCCCACCTCAGAAAAACGAAGGTTCTGTTTTAACTCTTCAGTGTATGGTAATAATTCTTGATGGGAAGCTATTTCTGGTTATACATAGTTAAACTCCTTTAGTTAAACTCTACATGGTGTTTTGTTTTGTTTTGTTTTGTTTTGTTTTGTTTTCTCGTGTGTCCTTATGTGGTCTGCTTTAATGAAGTTCTATGATACAAAACCCGGTGAATTCTGGTGAGAGTCTGCAGCCATTATTCTAACACCATAGTGACTGTGATAAGGCTAAGGGGCAGCCACTGGCCCTATGCCAAGTAAAACGATCAAGAACAGTCTAATTGTTAGATGAAACAATGAGACATGAAGAGCTTGGTAGTATTTCAGTAAGTCTCTTAAATTCTCTTTACTCATCCAAAAGCTCAGTTAGCAGATCACTGTTTTTCTTGGAGATGAGCATATTTGTATTCACATCATATTTCAAAACTTAAGAGAATAAAATATTGAGATGCTATCCACACTTTAACATTTCCTTCGCCAATTTAACTGGTTCTTAACCAAACTTATGCAAGTAGGTTTTTACAAATGTTCTTATTGCACTGCTTGTTGTGTGTTTCCTGGCGTGCTGGCCTGTGCACAGGTAGCTCCCTTTGGTGTGGATTTTACACCCCCACTAGGTGTGTTTGTCTCTAGAACGGTGCATCATCCATGGATTAGCTGTTTGCAAGCTTCCCTGTTACTAATCATGACATCTGCTTTGCAGAACCTCCTCAAGTCCTGTAGGTTTATAGGTCTGTAGAGCCCTTGGATGTTTTCACCTTTTTATATTCACCTTTGCTAGTAAGCATGGCTATTAGTCTTTTTTAGAGAATATTCTACTTGTTTCGATTTTTTTTCCCACTGAATAATTAAGTCCTACAATTTGATTGCTGTAACAAGTATTCGATCACTGCAGGCTATAGAACTTCCCCTTCCACTGTGTATTGAGAAGTTTAATTCTTTTTGAAAGGGGTTTACAAGTTTCAGGTGGAAGAGCTATTGCTTTTGTAACTTTTTTCAAAAGCTTTCTAGTGCTGTAATAATAAGATTGTCACAGTAGCAAAAGCAGCTCAGGAGGGAATGATCCTCAGAACATCATCTGATTGGCCAGCCAAGAACCAAAACAAATGTCTAAGGAAGAAATTGAGAATGTTGATCAGCTTGTTACACTGGTGACTGGATTATCAAACTGGTCATTATTTCATCAGGATTTTCTTTTTTCTCCTTTATGCTCTTCAGATTAGATCCTTGAAATTTAAAAAAAAAAAACCTTTGAAATTCTGTTTTGTCGCCAACAGTGCCCTTAAAGATAGTCGTTTCCCCCCAATGACAAGGGATGAGCTGCCACGACTTTTCTGCTCAGTGTCTCTACTCACTAACTTTGAAGATGTGTGTGACTACATGGATTGGGAGGTAAGAATGTCAGATATCTTTCATGGAAGTTTATAGCTGAAGTCACACTGTTTAAATGATCTGAATATATTATACCTGTCACCATTTTGCACTCTGTACACATGGTTTTGTGCCTAGATTCAAAAGACACTTTTTCATAAAACTGTCATCATCTCAAGAGTCTGAGCCATGCAAATGGAATAAAGTTGTGGTTTTGCCCATAAAGACACTCTTGAGTGGTCTGCACAATTGTCGTGATGTTTAAGATTCCATCAAGGAGGGTGATGTCTCTAAGCAAGGGTGTCCTGAGGCCTCATTTGCAGTGTCTACCTGGTAGATCAGTCCATTGACTCTGGAAAGGGATGTTCCAGTATGGAAGTTAACAGTCTGATGTATCCTTCTGGAAACAAGCACTGCACAAAATTGTAATCCCAGAACAAGCTGCTTCATTTAGCTTGTAGAGACATTCATCTTCCCCCAAACTTTGTTTACTTTCAGAGTGAGTGTCCTGCACAGACTCACAAAGCCTTTATGTAGTCAGGCCACATAAATCATTGCTTTCATGCTGCTTACGCATGGAGCTGAATCTATTCTAATTGCCAGGTTCTAGGAAACCTGCATGCATCCTCTTGGAACAGCAGCATAAAAGAGATTAAGAAGCAAATGCTGATGTGTGTATGACAGTGTACGCTGATGGAAGTGTTAGTCTATAATGTTCTTTTCCCCAAATTATTTGGCATTAGACACTTGCGAAAAACAAGGTACTGGACTTAAGATGAATGCCTCATCTCAGTCATGATGTTACATTCCACATTCCTCTTTGAATCTGTTTCTGAGTGGACATAAGAAAACATTTGAAATTGTCATAGAATAGCAGACATAATGCCAGAGACACCACAAAAGCTACAGTATTTCCCTTTAATAACAACAGCCTGACTAAATATTTAGAACTTCTTAGGAGAAAAAGTGGTTTTTGTGTTTAGACACAAAAAAATGCATATTCAATAGAAACTGCACTTGTTAGAACTCTAAGAGGCCCTGCTATCTCTGAAGGAGGGTATCAGCAGTAACCTCAGCATTATGAATTTTACAGTAGCTGAAAATTGACAGAGATGTCTTTCCTGTTCACCTCATAGTAATAAGGGCTTCTTAACTTCTGATATGTAATTCTGAATTGGGATGAATCCAGGTTTTCTTTGGGGTTCAGGAGCATTTATTTTCACCATAATCAGAAATACTAATTTTTTATGTAATGTCAGACCAAAAATAAATCTTAGCAAAAATTGTGTCTGCATTCTCAACAAGAAGCTTTTACAGAGTAGTCTGCCTTGTCATTGAGCCATTTGAGACTTCAAACAGTGTTTTCAAGTAATCAAACTAGTGACTATTGGTACTAAAGCTAGATATCAAAATGGTAGAATTTTTTACCTCTATTAGTTTGGCTTCTGGTAGCCAGCACTGTGATGTTTTTAATTTCATTTATTATAATTCATTAAAAATGAGACTGTGAAGACACTCAGAAAATGTTATGTGCATAATTAAATAGCATTTAGCTCTTTGCATGCCATAGTCTATAAATATTACTATGTGCTGTTTCATCGTGTCAATAACAAACTTCTAAGATGACCCAAGTATTCATCCTTAAGGAAAAGCTGAAAGATCAGCCTGAGTTCAAAAATCCACTTTTCCTTGGAAAGAATGGTTTTAGCTTTGTTCCTTGGGCAACTGCTGATTCATAACTTAATACTGTGTGAAAAAAGCAGGCTTTTACTTTCTATGCCCTTTCTATATTTTGCTACGGAACTTGTGAGAGTGTAACAACAGTGTAAGCATAGTGCAGAACTCTGGTGTTTCTGAATTCTGATTGATTTTATGGATTCTTACAATTATTCTTATTGGAAAGCCCTGACTTACAAGGGAAGAATGCATGGATGAAAAATATAAAAGGCCTTGTGTTGCTTAGTTGCTCTCTCCCATTTCTAATGATAAGTTTTTAAAACTCTTCGTAAATTTCTCCAGTTCTAAGAAGTGGTCGCAAACTAGGTTTCCATGCAAAAGGGCCCAGAGGAGGGGGGGTGACATATAAATATGAGATTATAAAATTCGTAATTGTTAGTCCTTAAAAGAGTGAATGATCACTGTGTGTGCCTGGCAGTGAGATAGCTTATGTCACCGATGTGTCTTTTAAGGGAGCTGCAGTTACGTAATATTAATGGCAAAAGGATATTTTAGGATGTCTAGAGTATGATGTAAAGAGAGATTCTGCATCTTTCATCTCCTGTCATGCTGAGATCATCCTGAAAAACATCAGCCTAATTAGGAATCCCTGCCTTTTTTAGGTATGCTACTGACGATCTTATGGGAACCAGGTCAGCAGTTTGCTGACACGGGTCACAGTATTTCAAAATTGTCAATTCAGACAGCTCAGTGCTCTGAGGGGCTGAGTCTGAAGTCAGGAGTGAAGCTGTCTGAAGACAGTTCAGGACTGTCTTCTTTATCCTGAAGCAGAGTGGTGGATGTTTTCTCGCATTAAGGAATTACCTTCCCAAACTAAATAAATTAGTATTTCAGCTGTGAAAAGCAATGTGAGATCCTTTTGCAGCAGAAACTTTCATCAAGTAAACAGGAGATGTGTGTGAATTCACTGCTGTTAGCTCCCACATGACTTCTCAAATGGCTGCATTTTCACCTTTTATAAATCTTTTAAGGGCCACTTCAATGCCATGTTCCCAAGGATGCTTCCTAAAATACAACTTAGCATTCTTACTACCTGTTACTTTGTCTAAATTGCAGTGCTCAACAGATGTAGGGCTTTGAAAGGAACACTGGGAGTGTTAAGAACTGCATCTCCAGTTCTGCTTCATGGAACCCATGAGAGACCACTGTGGTCCAGTTGCTGCTGGGGTGGAGTTGCACAGCCTTTCCACCTCAGAGAAATGGACAGCATGAAAAATTCAGAGATATGGGGGTTTTTGCTGATAATACTGCTCTTTTATTAAAGATATCACAGGAAAGGACTAGTTACAAAACAAGTCGTAAAGACCAGTTGTTTCTAAACACATGTGCTGTCGATAGCAGTCATTCCTTCCCTACATAAACTAATTCGGACCTAATTCAGGTTCTCTCATTTTTTATTAGAAGATCCTAAAGCATTGCAATTTTATGTAATTATAACAAAGAACCGTTTGGCTAGACTTGAGCAGTACCTCTTCCTTAAAATACCTTGAAAGAGGTCTTTGCCCCGAAGTTGCTGTTCTTCATTAAAGTAAAATCTGCAGAATTGTACGTGCTGTCTTGATAGAAAAGGCCTTCAGCCTTTGTGCACTGCTTTCAACATTAGCTTCAATAGTTGTAGCCAGAAATGTTGACTGAAAGGTGGCTTTTCATTGTTGACAAAGTGGATATATTCAAGAGTTGTGGAAGTTCTTTCCTGCCTGCACGTGCAGTGACACCAGTGGTTCTCAGCTTCTATTCTGTAGAACTGAGAAGTCTGGATCTCAATGCTATTCTCTTTGGACAATATTCAGTGATTCCATGTATGTAAATGAATGATTATGCTTGACATGAAGTAGAGAACAAACCTCCTGAGGAGTCTTTTGCCTCTGTTGTTAAATCAATATGTAGTATTTAGATGCTACTAAAGATGGTGAGAAAGAAGCCAGCATATTTGCTAAAAAGCTGTAGAATTCAGCTAACACAAAGTGAGATCAGCTTCAAGAAAGTAGCAATAGTCACTTAATCTGAAGGTTTCCATTTCCAGAAACATTTGCGTACAGCTATTTCGACAGTATTACTCAGGTAAACAGGGAGGAAAATTACTGTTCTGTGGTGTCATAAGGAATATTGTGCTCGTTCTAGGCCAGCATTTTTGTTGGAAAACATTTCTAGGTTGCTGCAGAGATTCAGCTGACAAACGAAGGGCTGTCCTGACGCGGCAGCCTGAACCACTCCGAACCTGGCAAGCCCAGCTAGCTCCGCAGGCTGCCGGCACTGAGAGTGGGCTATCTCCCAGGTTCTCGGAACCAGGAGTATAGCTAGGGCTCCAAGCCCCCTTTGGCCGCTTCCAACCTCTGAGGAGAGGCAAAGCAGCAGAGGGAGACCTTTTCAAGTTCCAGGGTAGGGTTTATTAGGAGGGTGGGGGGGAGGCAACTGGACACGAGGGAAGGGAACGCAAAAAGGCAGGGAGCACCGACCAATCAGAACTTCTTGGGGGAGGTACACAGTAAGGGGGGGAATACATAATCGACCAATGGAGGATAACATAGGCGTGGACTTATACATAACATCAAATCACATACTTAAGAGGGGATGACTGGTGCAGAAGGTGCTGGAACAATAGGAGGGGCCAGGGGGGATTGACAGGGGTTTGGGAGGGGATTAAGGAAATTTGGCAGGGAAAACTCTGGAAGAATAGGCGAGGCTTATGGTAACAGACAGGGGTACCTGCGGGAAAAGGTGAAACCATTATACACTGAACTAGGGGTAACAACCAAGGAAGAAACCATTACCAACAAAGGGGTGCAGCAATCCATATAATATATCAACTAACACTCGAACCGCAACACTGTCCCTAACCCAGAGCAGGGTGTCACAGTGGCACTGGCATGTAGGCATGAGCTGTGCAGTGGGTCTAGGTGCAGGAGAACACAGAAAGTGAGTGGAAATAAGGAATAGGCAGATGCTTGTTCCTGATACCAAGGGGGTGTTGCAGTGCTCCAGCTGTGGAGCATTCCATGTGGATTCTCTGTAACAGGCTCTTTGTTACCTGCTTTAAGGTATTTCTGAACAACTGTTTTACGATTTATTAATCTTAAAACGAATTAGTGGTGAATGCATGCAAATCACTTACAGATTTCAGTGCAGTAGATATAACTGAACAGAATCATTATTGGATGATAATTTACTGCACAGTGGAGTCCACAGAAACTTAAATGTCAACAAGGCCTGATGTTTAGGTACTTACCCAAGTTCCCCTTGGACAGTCTAATAAGAATAATGTAATTTCTTTCAAATTTCATTTCAACCATATGGTTGGAGAGTCAGTCCAATAGGGACAAATTAGTGAACTGTGTTTGGAGTCTTGGGGCAGAGCAGTCCATCAGGAGAGTTGCTTCAGCTTTGGTGTTACAGGGGGCTTTGGAACAATATTTTCTTACATATAGAGAGAGGTATTGTGGGCAGTAATCTGGCAAGTGCCATAGGCACTTGGCAAAAAAGTAAATCTGGCATCTACATGTTTTCTCTCATCCCAAGGTGTATGAGAATAAATAATTCATTAAAAAATAATGTGAATAAATGAATATGAATATGTTTAAATACACAAAAAAGTCTGAAGTTTTGTAAAGGTAATTTCAGAAGTAAAATAATGTAGTTTAATGCAATCTTTAGATGTAATGAAAGGTCTGTTAATTTAATTAGTATTGTCATGGAACCTAATTTTAAGTAGCCTCTGGCCACTTACACAACTGATCAGGAAGTTTATATCTACAAGTACTGCTTATATAGGACACAGTATTTCATGCACCATAACCCCATAGAAATATTTCTATTGGCAGAGATTGTTTTTTGCCTAAGTCTCTCTCCTTATCTTGCTTTCCTCTCCCAATAGCAACAATTTAAATAGATTCCTATCCACGTGGGAGGCTGAAGTAGCAATTATGTGGTCCCTTTTCAGCTCCAGAGGATACCTGTAGGCAGTCATTTCCCTAATATATGGTAATGGGCGAGACAGAACTCCAGCTCCATCTGCACAAGATTGGTTTATTTTTCTAAACTTCACAGACAGATGTTGTTGTTCTACAGAATGCTGCCTGTAGTGTATCAGTATTTTTAGTCTGTGAAGCAGACCCGAGGCTTTGTAGGAAGGTGTGTGCTGGTCCTGGTAGCAGGGCAGTTAATGCCTTCCACAGACCCAACCCTTACCTCCCATCTTGGAGAGGGCCATTTTGGAAAATCTCACAGAAGTTTGTATCAGTTGAGCACTAGTCTCTTGAGGAAGTCAAAATAAATTACACACTGTGCCCATGCCAGTCTTAATGTGAATCGTTTTTATTTTGCTTGTGTGTGGCTTCCATTTATTCAACTCAAGCCTGGTAGCTGGAGTTGAACGATGAAAAGCTGTTTATCCTGCTCAGCTACGTAGTTTGAATTAATGCTCCACGGGATGCTGTTTTTCCCATGCTGTACATACCTTTTTTCTACAGATATGGACCTGAAAGTCCATTAAAATGGTTAATTGGAAACATCCAGAGCAGTGATGCAACTTTAATGTTGCGTCATACTTAATACATCACTTGTGCTTCTGGTTATATTGAATATTATGTTGTCACTATTATGCAAAACACTTGTATAGCATTTAGAGTCTTATATTCTGCAGAATTTCAAGGTGTGCAAACCCTGGAAATATTTAATCTTAGTATTGAATATACAGTTACAAAATCACCAGCTGCGCAAACTTACTGGTTTGGGTATAAACTCTGTAGGCTTTTTTCAGCTTCTAACACAATTTCATTTTACTTTCAGGCCTTTGGGCTCATAATTATATTTTCTGAGTATACAGATTTGATCTCTCTAGTGATTATATATATATATATATATATATGTAATGAAAGTTGGGGTTTAGGCGTGTCTAGTAATGAAATAACATGTTAAAAGTTGCAGTGAATGAAATTAATTAGTCACAAAGTTACATTTTTCCTATTTATGAACAATGTTAGATTCATAGGGAAAAATGGCTGTGGCCATGGCCAGCCAGAAGAGACTTTTCCTCCCATTTCCCCTGCTTATATCATGCATAAAAAGTCTTAATATAAGCAAATAAGTTAATTGAAGAAGTGATAGAGCTTGTAAATCTTGCTTATTTGTTTTTTGACTGCCCTGTAGTTAAAGGAGGTAAAGTAAGTAAATTGTCACTGGAGAAGCTGTTAAGCATTTTTTTATTAAATTTATTAAATTATTAATTTAAGGATGTGCCACACCAAACAATGCAGTGTTGGGACCTTTGGATTCAAATGGAAATAACATCTTGGTTATGGGGGCATAAAAATGTCCATCTAATAATGCTTTGTGTTTGTGCACAGAATTCAAAAGCAACTGAAAACCTTCTGGCAATGGAATATCTTTTATGGCCTGATCCAGTACAGGTACTCTTCACAGAATGATTATAATCTGAAAACGGCGGCTTTAACAATGCCCCGGAAAGGTGTCCAGCCTCTTTGTTCATTTTTTACCAATATTTTTGGCATTTTGATTTTTATCTGCATCCAGCTCCTTGGTATTAGTAATCTTGGTTTCCATGCTGCCATTTTGTCACCTTACAGTTCTTAGTAGCAGAGAAATAGGAGTTTGAAGCTGGGTGTTTTGTAATATTTCTGTTTCCTCCTCATACATGAGGAGAAATTTTGAAGGCTCCAGTCTTGAGTCCATAGTGTGACAAATCTTTGATCGTTCAGTTGCTGCTTTGAACATAATTAATGCTCTTAATTGAAGCTGCATTTGGCAGCTGTTTCACCTGCAGATTATAGCTGGTGACCAGGTGATTTTATCAGCCAGAACAATAGTGACAGTGTCAAAGGAGACAGAACAACCTTAGCTCCTCAGCTGGATTTCCTCCAGCCCAGGAATGAAGCTCCATGGTGGGGAGGAGAGGAACATCTTGTGTACCTGTGCTGCTGCTGAGCTTTCCTGGCTGTAAGTGAACACCTTTCAAAAGGATGACACCTACTGCAGTGCCACCTCCTGAAACTGTATGAAATGCTGTTAACCACTGAAAGGTTCATGGTTTGGGTGTTGCCATGTCAGAAAGCTGTTGTATCTTTTCTCTGGTAATGTATACTAATGAAGCTGCCAATCTCTTGCAGGTGGGTGTACATGGCATTAGAATAGAATTCATCAACGAGAAAGGATCAAAGCGCACGGCCACCTACTTACCAGAGGTTGCAAAGGAGCAAGGTCATTGTTGCACTTTATTTCATATGATCTGGTGAAGAATTTAAACATACCTATAAATCTAAAATGCAATATTTGACCTTGCACTGATGTCAGATGATGGAGCAGTATTTAATTGTAAGAAGACTCTTAAATAAAATGCCAATTACATGCTTGTGTCAGTCTCCTAGAGGGATTCAGTAAACTGTAGCTGTTTTTTAAGCCAGTCATAAATGCAGCATAGCTATAGGAAAATAAAATGTGGAGGGGTGGTACAGTGCTGTCAGCCAGGCTAACAGTTGTTAAAAGCTGTCAGTTTCTGTGGCTGCTAGGCTGGGCTATAAGGGAGATGCAGAAGCCCTGTTAAGCGTTGGGAAGGCTGGGCAATTATCTTAACCATGATTTATTCCTGAATTCCTGGTGATCAAATTGTTTTTCAGTTAGGTACTTTCTGTTAGTACTCAGTTCCTGTTAAAAATACTGACTTCCTGGGGTTTTTAATGGATGGAAGGAAATTATTTTCAGTATGGAAGTACAAAATAATCTTGTTAAAAGTCCCTTTTAATAGAGACACAGACTTAAGTTTGTGCATTTAAAAAACTAGAATAGATTTTGTTGAACAGTCTTGAGCTGAGCTTTCACTTTGTATTTTTATTTCCAAGTGTGTCTCAGTCTGTCCCAATCTTTTACAGTTTGTGTTACTGCTGCTTTGGTTTTTTTACCTTTTATATATAAGTTTGTCTACAAAGGGTTCAGCTGATATCTTTACTGAGAATTCTTTTAAATTAATAATTCTGTTTCCAGATAGTTTCTTAAAAGTCTAGAGGTGTTCCAAACTATTTTTTTTTAAATTCAGGAACTGTGGGGGGAATGTGTCTAAATTTCGGAATAGCTTTAGTAGACCATGAATTGCAATCTGATTCTTTAAAGTCTCCAGAACTACTCATTTGTATTTTGTATGTGCCCGAATCGACTGTGGTTTTTGCAGGTTTTTTAATGTAACAATGTGACTAATTATTGCATCTTTAGGAAATAACATGTCTAACAGCTATTTAAAATAGAAGAGTTCTTAAATAAATAGGTTTGAATAGCATGAAGATTTTATTGAGAACAGTAATGAATCTGTTTTTTAATCCATCACTTCTTTCATTATCCAGACACATATAATATATAGTTGTTCTAAAATCAGCCATATCTCTGTAAAGTGAAGAAGTCTGATTTCAAGTTCTCTGTACATGTTCAACTAATAATTATTTTAAATGTTATACAGAAATATAGTTTTCCATATTGTCATAACCATTTATAGTATCTTAAGTGGCTGTGATACATGACCATACCTGAATGTTTTGGAAAAGTTTAGTTTTGTATCACATACCCAGTCTAGGACACTTGGATAGAATGGGTTCACTTTTAATGTATTTCGATTATGAGATGAAAAATATATGTTGTTTGTAGAGTGTATGTAATGAAATCTTAAATGTGGTATTTCCTTCAGCTGCTCTGAAGTAGGGAAGAATGTTTTAGTTTATCCCAAATGCCAGCAGAGCCCTTGCACTCTCAACAGCACCACATACTGTACTGTGCTTTTGCAACATCTGTTCCTATTGCTTCATTTCTCACTAATTTGTGCTACTGTAAAATTCAACAGGATGGGACCACATTCAAACGATAGATTCCTTGTTGAGGAAAGGAGGCTACAAAGCTCCGATTACTAATGAATTCAGGAAAACAATAAAGCTAACCAGGTATGCACTGGGATACTGCACATAGCCCTATTGTTGTAATGCTGGGAGGTGTTCCTTCCTGGTAAGTGCTCCTGCAGATGGTAATGGTAAACTCTCCTGGATGTATCATTCATGATTGCTTTGTTTCCACAAGGGCAGTACAGACTTAGGAGAAGCTTTGCACAGGGATGAGTGGCACTAAGCAAGGAGTAAGAGGCAGCTGTTCAATATCAGGACATGTCAGGGTACCTGCACATTTGGGTTGATAACTCTGCACGTTCACAGCAGTGTTTTAGCTCTAGCTTCTCACAGAGGATTTTTTGGCTGTAGTAAGTGTCCAGGCCTGTGGTCAAGAGGGATTACTTGCTCTTGTTAGATTTATTTGGGAAGATGGTGTGTGGTGGGGCTGCTGTTGTATTGTCATGGAGGCCCTTCAGATCCCTAATCTGCTGGATCCTCAGAGAAAGCTTTGGGTTATGCCCTGTGGAGTGCAAGTTTCCCTAATCTTAAGGTGTGAGACATGCTAGCCATGCACTGCTTTGACAGCCAGTGTACTAGCGAAACTATGTCAGGGTATTCCCAGGAGTGGGGACAAGAATTTAATATTTTATTTCATACTAGTTTAGTTTGGTTTTGCTAATTTAATACAAAGTGTTATTGAAAAATAACACTTAGTGTGTGGCAGCCAAGGTATTTCAGAATTAGCAGCAGATATTCTGCCCATAATGGTGGTGAAGGGTAGAGGAGTCTGTATGAATGTCTATAGGAATGGCTCTAAAGCTATTTATTCATATAAACCTGCAGTGTAAAACGACTGGTGAACTCCAGTTGTTTAGTCATGCATGGAGAAATAAGATTTTTTTAAATCTTAGGTTGTAAGGAAGTTTTGACCATTTATCTTCTTCAAGGAGATAAAGACTTTGGGTCTCAATGAGTATTTGGAATTCTGGATTCTCATAGGAACCTAGCTACTGTGGAGTAGCTGAGTAAGAGAAACATTTTTTCTGAAGGTTAAATTTGGGAGGAAGGATTTAGAAGACAGCTAAATTACCAAGTGCAGAACCCAAATCTTGCTTTAATTTATTTCAGCTGTACACTTGATATCTTATTTTCAAAAACAATATTCAAAAAGAGTATCTGGAGATAGCTGAGGGCAAGAGTAATAATGTTGTAGATCATTTCTGTATACCTCAGCAAATAAGGAATATATTTTTCTATTAAAACAAAAACTCTATAGTTTTTTCTCCTGCTGCATGATTTTGCGTGGAGCAATGGCATGGAGCACAAAACAAAAAAGCCCCAAAGGTTCACCCCTAGTCCCCCCCAAAAACCCCACAAGAAGCCTTATATTTAGTGTAATTAAGTTCACAATAATGAAACTGCTACCAAAATGAGTTTCCCGATAAGTTAAATGAGAAACCGTAATTTTTTTAATGGTCAGAAAAACGATTTTTTGACTGCCTGTTTTACTTGCTTAAAATCTCAGGTACTGCTGGCAGATTAGAGACAGTATTATTAAAATACTAATTGTTTTCCAGCATTAGACAACCTGATTTAGAACTTAATTTTAATAATTTATTTTCATACATGAAAATAATTTATTTTCATACAATATCTGTTGGAGGAGTGAGTAAGGGCTTTTAACTTATTTTTCAAGACTTCTGAATTGAAGTAAACATCCTGTGTGTGAAGAAAGCTTTAGACTGATCACGAGTCTGCACTCTCTTCAGGTTCACACCCAGCAGTTCTGGCCATGTTTTGAAAGAGAGAGCTAAACAATAGTGGCACTGAGGGACTCATAGCAGTCAGAGGGGTCTGGAATGCAGAGGGTCAGCAGCTGGGGATCCTCTGCCATCTGCAGAGCTATGCAGGGGCTGTGCAGCTGCCCCGATTGTGCACAGCCAGCTGTTACCTGCAGAGCCCCTCATTGTTTCCCTAGAGTGGGAATTCCATTCACTGAGTGCCATGTACCATCCCCATGGATTCCAGAAGAGCTGCTGCTTTCTCAGCAATGCCCAGCAGCCACTAGTTCCTTGTATTCCTCGTTGTCAGACAATACTGATGCAGATGTATTCAGAATATGTGTTGTCAAGACCTGGATTCTGCTTTTAGTTACACAGAGCTTGGTGATGTTCTTGTTGAGAGCATTCTTCATTATTTTTCAACTGACTCGGGAGTCAGGAGAGATCCTAGTTGAGTGGAAGCTGGCAAATGTTGTCCCATTTGGAAGAAGGAAGACCCTTGTTATTACAGGCCTGCCGGTCTCACTTAAATGCCTGGTAAAATGAGAGGTGCCTCTCTGTAAGGAGTACGTCATACTATAAAGTATGACGAGAGGAAAGTGATCAGAAATGGTGAAAAGCCTTAAGGACAAGATGCAGAAGGAGTAGCTGAGGTCACATGTTTGTTCAGTTTGGAGAGGGCTGAGAAAGACCTTATTGGGGTTTACAGGTTCCTTGAGGGGGGCAGTGGAATGGAGCTGCTTATCTCCTCTTTCAGATGACCAGCAGTAGAACATGAAGAAAGGGAATGAAGTTGCCTCAGGGGAAGTTCAGACTGGACATTAGGAAAATATTCTTTACTGAGAAGGTAGTTAGGCACTGGAACGAGTTGTCCAGAGTCATGGCATCAAGATGCCCGTTGGAGGCCAAATAGTGTCCGAACAATGCTTTTAATCATATGGTTTAGTTTTAGGTAGTTGCATGAGGAGTAGGGAGTTGGACTTGGTGTTCCTGATGGGTCCTTTCTAACTGGAGATATTCTGTGATTCTAGTCTAAAAATAATGTAGCTACATTTAATGTAGCTGGGATAATTTTAAAAGCAGAATTTAGCAGACAGTTGATACGGATTGTTTAAAAACAGCCTAAAAATCTGTAGTGCTTGTTTATGTTTTCCCTATTAGGTTTTTGTAGAGTTGGCTGAAGAGACAGGATATTCTCTATTCCCTGTACGTCAACCAACATAGTAGGCAACCATTTTTAACAATTCTGTTTGCTTAAAGTATTTTTTCATAAGTAGTTACGTTGTGATTTCTCATATGATTCAGGAAATGACCCTGACAATTGTGGCAGTTCCCTTGTGCAGCTGAAGTCAGTCTTATTCCCAGCATAAGAAGTACAGAGCTCTTCTCTCTAAACAAGGCAGCACTGCAGCATTTCTGGTGCTACTTGCAGCTTCCTGGTAACAGTTCCTGAATTGGCCTCTCTGCTTTTTGCCAGGTACCGCAGTGAGAAGATGACGATGAGCTACACAGAGTACGTTGCCCATCGTCCGCATCATCACTTCCAGAATGGTATTGGGCACCCCCTTCCAGCATACAACCATTATTCCTGACACTAAGCCACATGACCAGTCACTGGACCTCTCTGCAGACCTCTTCCCAGGAGACCCTGCCCCTTCTTGGTCTAGCTATCTCTATTACTGTACCATTTTATGATGTTAGTTTCCGTTGCCATGTTGAGGCTTCTTAGTCGGTTCAGCTTATCATGGCAACGGGAGGGAAAACTGCATTACTACAAAGATCCCATACCTTTTTATTATTGATTCTCTGCAGATTTTTTTGCAGCATATACCCTTAGGTTTTTTATGAAAATTTAAATTTCTACTTCATTAACATTGAATTAGATCAATCAAGGCTTTCTGTAACTATGGATGGAAGGAAGAGTTTAAGGATTGCAGTTAGGGATGCTTTGCTTAGCAAAAAGGCATTCATTGCTTTTGCATTAATGGGTGTGATAGAGAATGAAACATATCAGATTCAGGTATTGAAGTAGACAATTAATTGCATTTTTATAACATTCTTAATGACATTGTGTGTACAATATCTCACCTTCACAGCAAAGATTCCATGTAGCTCTGTACAGGATCTCCAGATCCAGCACAAACAGCCAGAACACCAAGGCTGACAGAATGCTTTTTTGGGATGAAGAGAAGCAACTCATGTACAGCGAGAGGTGATATTAACATGGCAGCATTTTCAGAATCAAGTGGCATAAATGATAGTGCACAATCCAATCCAGGACCCCTTTGTGTCCCATCCTGTGCTGGGAATCATGGGCAGTCCAGGTCTGTCAGGATTAGTCAGGAAAATGCATTTGTAATGAGACTATGCCTATCTGATGATCCAAATTAGGAGTAACTCAAATTTGTCCTAAAAACAAGTTGGTGAGTAGCAGATGTCATATTAGGAAGAAAATGGATTTAGATTTTAGTGCCTTTGACTAAAACATAATTATATACTTACATATATAAAATTAATAGAAAATATACTCCAGACATTCTAGCAAACCCTGATGAGACTGCTCTGGCATCAGGGTTTTGGACACTTTTTTTTCTCTTTAAAGTGAGATTTTTTTTTTTGTTCTTTCATTTGCTCTTGAACTTAGTGAGTTTTATCAAGTCATGAATAGTTGGATCAAGTTAACGTTTTTTTTAATAAAAGATAAGAGACTGTTATGAGAGAACTAGGACAAGTATGCCATAATGTTACATGTTTTCATCTATTGCAGGAATAGTGCTTGAGAGCTGTAAGTACTGTGTAATAATTCTGATACCCCTCCACACGGTAGAAGAAAGAAAACCGATTGGAACTTTTTCCTGCTGTAAAAATAGCATTTAGTAAAAGGTATGTGTGGTCTATTTGTAAGGCCAGTTGATGGCAGGAGCTTACTCCTTCCTCCTGTGCCTGCAGAAGTCCCACTGCTGCCTGTTGCAGCACAGGTTGCCTGTTACAGAAAAGACCTTCCTAATCTGCGTGAGTAAACCACAGCAGAAATTCCTGTTACTTTGAATAATGAATGTTTGTAAATACATAGATATATAAAAATCAAATAGATAAATTCAGTTGTTTAAAAAAATTGGATTAACTATAAAAGTTTTTAAATAGTGTTTCAAAGTCAGATAAGAATAAATTATGCTCATCCCTTATGTGAGGTTAGGTCTGCCACTTAATTTCTATGGAGGTTCTTGTAGAAGGTCTTTGGTATTCCTTCATCCACAGCACTAACGTCCAAATATTACCATTTTCAGTTGCGATGCCTTAATTTTTAAGAGAGGGCCTGAAATTTCAGGAGCCAAAAGATGCCAGCCAGAAGCTGCAAAAATGACATGTTTATACAGAGGCTATTTTGGATGATAATGTTGTCTTGTTTCAACTTGGGGAACACTTTTCGATGAATTAGTCTTCAAGTGGAAATATGAACAAGTGGCTACCTGATAGAGTTGTGTTGGTTTTTTTTCTTGCCCTTATAGGGAACCTGAGCACAAACTGAATCATTCTGCTGCGAAAAATAGTCGTCCAACCCCATCTTTATCAGTCATCTCGTTACAGCTTGCTCGTGCTTCTGCATGAGTTCATTGTTAGAAGTTTTTTAAAAAGGTCTATTATATATAAAAATATATATGTATTGAAAGGTGCTAATCAACCTCAAGAAGGTCACGTGACTGGTCATGCGGATCTAAAATCATATCAGATTTTTAAAGAAATCTTCGATATATGCAGATGTTATACAGAATTTCTTACCAGTGTAATAATGATATACTGATGCATAAACAATCCTGCAGGATTTTAAGGACAAGGTCAGCAATACTTCCCACCATGGCTTGGGGGAGAAAAGGATCGTTTTGTCTCCTTTTTTGTATACAGCATAATGCACAATGCATTTTTGTCTATCTCTTAGTAGCTGTTGCTTAAAAATATAGTTCAAGGGTGTTATACAAACTGTAAAGGTGTGCTTTTGAACTGAGCTCATGCCAGACCCTTCTGGACCAGAGTTTTGTATCATTAATTAAAAAACTGTTACAGAGTCTGTGGTCAATCAGATTGTATGATTTTTATTTTTTTAAGACTGGAATAATCAGTCTACCTACAGTGTTTCTAGGGCACCTACCTCCTCAGCACACTGTGCTGAACTGCTGCAGATTGTTTGTAATTGTGGGATTCTTTGAACCAAACTTGCAGCTCACTGTGACATGCACTGGCACAGAATAGGTCTGTTTGCTTAAAGCTGATCAGCAATTGCTCTCACAAATGTCATTCTCTTGTAGTTACATTTAGTAACTTTTAGCTGTATTGTTGGGGTTAGCTACAGATTTGTTTTTCATTTGGGGTACTTTATAGAAATTAAGGTACAACCAAGTAGCTTATTTCACTGTTTATTAAGTTGAAATGCTGATTTTTTTTTATGAGCACTACTCAGTTTGCCTTATTCCATTGAAGAGATTGTTGACTTTTTTTTTTCATTCTCTTGCCTAATGTTCCTAAAAACTCTGTTCTGTAAACTGAGTTATACAACCAAACCATAGACTTGACATGAAGCTGTTACTTGGTGATGCTTCAAGTGTCCTTCCTGCTGCCATCCCAGTGGATGCTGCTCCGGCAGGGGTGGACGCTCCTGTCCTGACCTCAGCCCCACTCTGGAACCAAGGTGGGCACGGCCCTGGCACACCTGGAGTTTGTATATGGACCTCTACTTGTCTTCAACTGTGCGGGTTTTTGAAATTGTTGTCTGGAGTAGGTTACATCTCTTACGTGTGTTAAATCAAACCAAAGAAGCCTCCAGCCATGCCCAAATGCTGCTCCTAAAGCCTGCCTTCCAGTCCTTACAAAATCCCTGCAGGATTAAATGTGTTAACTTTTTTATTTTTGTACAGTTTCTAACTGATTTTTGCTAGTGATGTTAATTGAATTAAGTTTATTTGGGGAGTCTGAGTATCTCCTCCATTTAAATAAACTGGTGACTTTTGTTTTATGCTAAAAAAAAAAAAAGTTTAAAAAAAAAAAAAGAGAGAAACCCAGTGTGCCTCTCAGATTTAAGGGTTTCTGGTTACATTTATTCTTAAGACCAGCAATGATTCTTTATATACAAAGATGTTTTCCTCCTTTTTTATTACTGTTAAAGAAAAAAATAAAAATGAAAAACCTCTTTCTTTGCTCTGGACTCAATAATTGCGCTGGTACATAAACGCACTGAGAAAGCAAACTTTTGTTTGAAACTTTTGTAACAACTTATGACTGTTTTTGTATATCAAAGTTGATTCTTTTCAAGATATCTGGATCTAGTTTCTAAATTATTTTAGTGTTTTATATGTTACAAGAAAAAAAACAGCTTACTTTAAATTGTTCACCAGCATCTCGAGTTATTTTCAATGCCATGGTGACACAAGTGGGCTCTTAGAGCTACCTGGAGTAGCTTGTAACGCCTCGGTCTTTTCCTTCCTTTCTTAGCAACTCAGTTGATTACAGTAATATCACAGATTACCTGAACCCCCTTCTTTCATAACTAGATCCTTCTTCCTTCCACATTTAATTGCTATTAGTGTGAAGAAACTGTTGCAATGGGCATTTTAATATAAGTATGGCTTAAAAAGAGAAAAATGAGGAAAAAGAAAAAAAATGCTAGAAGGTTATCTGTGGGTCTGTGAGATATGGCTGTGGAAAAATATATTGTAGTAGTTTTAACACTATTGTTATTACCTTTTAAATCATTTACCCAATAAAATAATGAAAAATAATCGCCATTTCTTTTTATGTTTCTCTGCTTAATTGTGTGGCTTGGTCAATGTTTTTATTGAAGCATTTGTACCTGGTGTTAATGTCAAAGGCTAATGCTATGTTAGCAATATTTTCCTGTCTTTCCCTTTTGTCTGCTGTACAAGCAAACTGGGGACAGGTACATGCAGCTTTCACTAAACACTCCCAGTGAAAACACCATTTGTCTCAGCTACATCAGTTATTTATCTCAGTATATTTATCAGTATTTCTATCAATTGCCAGTTCAGTTTTATACTTCTTATGTCTAACTTTACATGTGGAATTCTGTCCAGGCCTGAGCTCCCTCCTGTGAGAGGCAGAAGTGGTTTCAATCTTTTGAAGCAAAACTTACTTGCAGAACCTATTATACTGGTGTCAGCAACACAGAAGTGGTACCCCATACAGCCAGGTTGTTCAGCAGAACATTGTGCCAACATGCGCTGAAGAATCTCTTTCAAAGCAACAGTACAGTTGAGGCCAAAATTCAGTTGGAGAACTTCGCTCTCTCAGCCAAATTCTTGGTGCACTGAGAGACACTTTCTACTGAGTCTGAGTTAGAAGGAGCATATTTCCTCTGTAGGATAATTCCTGAGACAAAGCATTCCATCTCCCTGGACTCAGCTCTAAGTTTAGAAGGGCTTTGCCTCATGCTCTGCATCTACAGCCAGCAGAGTTATTAACAAAGTCTTTGAAAGCAGAGCAACAGAATCCATGTAACCTTTGGATGTTGAAGTCTGATGTAGCCATTACTTCACTTGCTCTGAAGCTTTCATTTATGAGACTAACAGACATCTGGAGGGAAACCTGCCTGGGTAAATACTAAACCATTGCTGGAAGCAGGTTCACAGATTTGGTATCATTAGTCTGAACTGTGCAAAACTTACACTAAACCTAATCTAATACCCTGAGGCAGTTGAAAGGCAGAGTTAGTTAGTTACTACTTCCTACAATGAGTTTCCATTCTTCTCGCTGCTTTAGCCAACTCTCCAATCCCCATGCTGTAAAGATCAAAGCAAGCCAGTAGCAGTAAGGGTGTTTCAGATGTATAAACTTGCTTTTTCTTACACAGTTGTTGGTATTAAAAATAAAAGGCTGATTTCTAATTAGTAATAGCTGCTGACAATCATCAGCAGTGCCTGCAATGGGAAATTGCTTGCTTGGTTCAGCACAGGCTGCCATACAGCACTTTACATTGGATTTCTACTTAAGCTGTTTCATCAGACTTTATACTCTTCCAGAGAAATTAAGTTGGAGAATTGATTCTTTTCCCCAACCATATGAAAAATCAAATCCTCTGCAATGGATACATAATAATACAGGGTGGGCATATCCAGTATGTTCCATTTGCCAAGAACTGCACACAAGGCAATAACCAGCTTGTCTGAGATATACTGGGTCACAAGAACACATTTAACTAGGCTGCAATCATGCTTATTACATCCAGAAGCATTTGCAAAGTGCATTAAAACTACTTTTCCATCCTGTGGTGGGAGGCTGAGTGCAGTCTTGTAGCTGCTATAGCAGCTTTCTGAACAAAGGTGTGAGCTGAAAACTTCTGTGCATGTTCTAACATCTTCTGCTAAAGTGCTGCGAAATGGGAACTACAGGACATTGCCCAAGCTGGGGTAGGAACAGTGAGGAAGCATGAAGAAACATCCTTGTATTTCAGGTGCAGAGCTCAGGGAACTATTACAATACAAGGACAGGATTTATACCCCACAGTAAGTTCTGCCAGTAAACTGCTGTTAACTGACAGGTAACAGGCACAAATCAGACTGAACTGCTTAAAATTCCAGAAATCTCAGTACCCATTGTCCTCCCAGGAACGGCTATGTGCAAGGTAGACAACATCAGGCTGTACAGACTGTTTCAGACAGGAGCCTCCATCTTCTTATCTGATTTTATAAAGAGATAATATTATGTGCCTCTGTGATTCTTACCTAGTTATAAAAAGTCCTAAGCAAGACAGACTCAGACATGGCACAATTAAAATGATAACAAAACTATCCAGTAAAATGCATTTATTTGCTTTAATGCCAAGATTTAACAACTATTTGTCCAATGATCTGGACTTAGGGCACAACAACAAAAAAGCTTACCAGAGCAAAATATGAAAACAAGTACACAAATTAACCCTTATTTATAAATGTTATCTCATAACCAAAGTTTAGCACATTACAAAATTTACAAAATTTAGAACACTCTTACAAATTATTCAGAACTAACAGCATATGTGGCAGTTGAGCCTCTCCACATTCATCCTTGCCCTTGCCAACCCATTCATGTCCCTGCCATGCTGAGACTAGAGCATGGGGTAAGCAGCCCTGCAGGTTCCTCCAGCCCCCCAGTGCTCCAGCCCAGCCCCTGGCACAGCATGGTCGGGGAGAGTGGGGTGTGGTCACTGCTCTGCCTATTGTGTCCTCTGCAGCATTGGAATAATGACTCAGGAAATGCATAAATAGTTTTTAAAAGTAGAAAATTGACCCTGAAGAAAAATAAAATTATTTATAAAACAGCTTGGCTTTGACTAAGTTACGCCAACAGCTGCAAGAGATATTTACAGCAATATCACTTGAAGTACGAGATCACAATCAACAGATTTGTTATGAGTCCTGTCACTTTAGAACTGAAAACACCAAAGCTGACCTGTCTGCCTGCAGGAACCTCCCACCAGGGCTGACATACGCCCTCTTCCTGGGTTTTGGCTTTTTCAGAGCTTTGGCTAACTTGTTGATGAATTTGATTCCTAATCCACCTAGACTGAAACAATTGCAACACAGAAGAAAACACCACAACTCCACTTTCCGTTAGCTGTGGATGCATAGATCCATATGTAAAACTTAGACATAAAAGTACAGTCAGTTAACAGATGTAAATAGCCATTTCTGAAAAATACAATTGAACTTTGTAAAATTATTTCAAATATACAGAAGCATCACAACTCTGTGGCCAGAAACAGAAACCTACAATTAGGTACTCTCTGACCTCAAGGCTTGATTGGACTGCAAATGGACTGACTGTTCCTGCTTCCCAGACTCACCAAGGCAGCAGCTGCTCAAGCACACATAACCTTTGCTTATGGGCAGCATCTTTGAACTAAGAAGCTGAACCAAAACCAGCTCCAGGTGCATGCTCATTGACTGTGGCTTTTCATCGATTTATAAACACATGGGCAAGAGCTATTCATTTGCACCTTTCAAGAGAAAAAAAGATGCAAATTCAGCTGAGGTGCTTAAAAGAAGAACGTGAAGAAATAGATCCAGCTCAGACACTGTACAGTGTCTGAATCCCTGGAAAAATTGCACTGCAGGCATCCTGGACAGCTGAAGCCATGGCACAGGGTGGTGGGGGCAGAAATGTTTTGTCAGGGCTACTTACTTCAAGGTTGCATAAACAAACCCATCAGTAAACAGGTTTATTACAGCTAATAATGCTTCATTCATGGGTACACGTGGAGGGAAATGAAGCCAGTGGTAGCTGGAGTAATGAGTTTGCTTAACTCTTTGTTTCTTTTGAAATGCCTACAATACAAACACTTGGAGGGCATTCGGACCCCTTAACCCATACCAGCATCTCTCAGGCAGTGGCACTGCACAAGAATTTTTTTTGGTATTCTGGCCAGCAAATGAAGTCACTCTGGGGTGAGATTTTACACTCTGCTTCAGCTGCTGCTGCTGGGAACAGTGGGTCTTGGCTGTGCAGCCCCACTCCTGCTCTGCCCCACAGCTACTGCCACTGCTGCTGAAATTCCCAGTGCCATGACACATTTGGGCACATTTGACCAGGAGGCCTAGGACAACCCTTTCAATTGTGCATTGCACTGCAGCAGTGTTAAATCTCATCACCAGGTACTGGGCAACGGCTTCAAGATGTTTTGACATGGACTGAGTGTGTAACACCCCAGGAGAGAATGCAGTTGCCTCCCAAGAAGAGTAGTAGAGTTTTGTGCTTTCATTTCCAGCATAAAGCAACCAAAGAAGTCTGTATAATGTAACTCCCTATAAAATAAACCATTCACGGAAAAGAAAAATCAGCCTCTGCCAGGAAAAGCAACGAATAACTGCTATAGAGATTAAGTACTCTGCTTTCCCATTTCCTGCATATATAGCAAGCTCTGGCTAATGCACATTCCCAACAGATACTAGAGCTAGGTGAGTAACGAAGGATGTGGAGTTCCACAACAATTGCTTCAAAAGTTTTTTCCTTTTCTGCTCCCATTCCGACCTGCCCTTCTTCCCCTTCTGTGAAGCCTATCTCAGCTACACTTAGGCAGTTTTGAGTGGTGGGTCACCATAAATCAAAATGAAGCTCTAAAAGCCTTCAAAGAAGGGCATGAGGAAGGAGGAAATAATTTTAAGTTTTGGGCCTGTCACAGGAAAGACACTGAGGATGTGGAGCACATCCAAAGTAAAGTATTAGAGCTGGGGAAGGGTCTGGAACACACATCAGAGGAATGGCTGAGAGTGTTTAGCCTGGGGAAAAGGAGGCTCAGGGTTGACCTTGTGACTGCAACTGTCTAAAAGGAAGGTGGGAGTCAGCCTCTTCTCCCAGGAAATAAGCAACATGTCAAGAGGAAACAGCTTCAAGTGGCACCTTGAAAGTGGACATTAGGAAAAACTTCTTTACCAGAAGGGTTATCAAACCTTGAACAGGCTGCTCAGGGAAGTGGTGGAGTCACCAACCCTAGAGGGATTTAAAAGACATGCAGGTGTGGCACTTGGGGATGTGGGTTAGTGGTGTGCTTGGCAGTACTGGGTTAACCTGTGAGTTCATCAAGCCAAGCATTTTCTCCTACCTATATGATTCTGTACTTACTCAACCAGCCTCACTAATATTGCACAACAAAAAAGCAGCAGCTCATGTTGAAAACGTGAAGGTTGCACTGCCTGCGTTCCCATCTGACTCCAGCTGCACCATTTGATTCCTTCACTGCAGCTCCAATACTTCTAAAATCTTTACTGAGTGCACTAGTTGGTATTCTCTACTTTTTTGCCTTGTTTAGCGAGACATTTTCGCAGCTTAAATTGATATGAAAGATTCAACAAGCTCCAAGAACGTGCCCACATAAGGTTTAGGACATAAGGACAGTACAAATGCCACACAGGCTCTGATGAGTGGCTCCATCAGCAAACTCCATGTCATCAAATTACACTCTGAATTTGTGTGACTCAAAACAACTGGAGCAGCGTATGAGGGAAAAGCACAGGTGGGCCCAATAACCAGCAGCAAGGGAGAGAGGGCAGGGGCAACCACTTCCAGCAGTTCTGCACCAGGAATCCCTTTCCATTGCCCAGAGGTGGCCCTGTCAGCTCTGTTCACATTCCTGCTACTGCATTTTAAGTCAACCGGAAGAACTTGCAAATTCTGCTTTCCATGCAAAGAGCCTGCACTGACACCTGAGCTCATTTAAATGCTCCTGCAGTTTTAGTTGACCAGAGGCAGTCAATAGTGGCAAACAGCAGCTGCTTTATACTTGTTTGGAATGCCCTGAAGCAGATGATTACAGATAGGGAATGCTATAATTTAAAAAAGGAAAAAAGAAAAGGCTCCTACTTAGAGAAGTGTTTCCAGTAACTACAATATCCTGATGGGAGAAAAAAAGGGAAGATGCTTTTAAAAAATGACTTTTTTTAAAAAAAAGAACCAAAAACCATAAGTTAAGCAAATAATAATGTTAAATAGTATTTGCAAAATTTGTCTAAAGTCCTTCTGTTGTAATAGTAACACCAGCTGTATATGCCCGAGGGATAGTTTAGGTACATGCTGCATATTCTCAAGTTGTGAGCATACAGTATATTTATATTTTTATATGTATATATACACACACATAGAGAGAGAGAGAGAGAGCAAGGCATGGAAGAAAGCCAGAAAACAGTTTGTAAATCAGAATATGGGACAATGTATATCTGATTGAGGTTACCTTTTTTAATGGCATGGAGTAGAAATGCTTGAATAGTTTGTTCCCTCACCAAAGAAAGTTTTTTTCTTTTTTAAGGAAAAAAAAAAGTCAACTTACTTTTGCTTCCTGAGGTGTAAGCATCTGTACCTTTACTTCAGCACATACCTTCAGGTGATCTAGCTGGAGGAGGTATGATGGTCTTGGTTTATCTTACAAGTCATAGCTTTGACAACACAATGAATCTATAAATTCCCACAAACTTCTGTATAACAAAAGCCTGCAGCCCTGAAACACAACAGTCTGCATAATGGACTCACAATTCTGGAAGAACACAGTCAGGATTTCCCATCTTTCTGCCCAATGGTTTCTCCTCCTGCAAAATTTGAGCAGGTACACACAGTTGATCATTCTGCCCATCTACATCCTGGTTCTCCAGAAGACATACTGATGGGTCACGCTGCTAAACTGGAACATATTCTTTGCAATAGAGACCTACACTGATGTGACATTCCTTTTTATACCGGTATTTTAAAATCAGTACACATGATATAGCAGAGCTGTAGGGGGGAACAGAATTTCATTTGGTTTCTTCACCAGCCAGTCTGGTCAGTGAGGGTCAGAATAAACACAGCAGGAATGTTTCAAAAGCTACTAAGTATAAAAAAAGCCTTGATATTTACACTGTACTTTGTATCTCCACTCCTTCTCTGGTCTAAGGTAAGTGAAAAAAACACGTTTTGTTCGAAGTCAGGACAGAACAGTGGATGCAGTATCTTATTATGGCCTATACATAACATGGTCTTTTGAAATTATTTCAACATTCTTTTTTTCCTCTCACCAAAACAAAAGCATCTCCAAAACATAATGATGGGACTTCACTAGATAGGTACTTATCCACTTAGAAATTAAGTAGTTGATTAATTTTTTCTTTTTTTAAATGAGTTATTGTTCCCCAACATTTTCAACCAGCTTAAAGAAAATACAGTAGAACCCCACTGGTTTGTACTTCTGACTGGAAGATTAAGTATGGACAGTTTCCTGTGACCATTTTGGAACATTCAAGCCTTAAGAGTTAAGCCAGAATGATGCAGTTCAGCATGTTGATTCACATCAGTGGAATGCTACAATTCAGCATTATTTCCTACCCTAGAAGTGTAATATTCTTTAATGGAAAATGAGTCAAAACGAGGTAGCACTGCCACTCTCCTTGCTCAAATGTGCACAAGTCCTGGCCTAATTTTAAATGGTGGCTTAGCAAGATTCTACTATAATCAATACAAAATGTATAAAGCACAAACTTTTCCCAGAATAAGGCCACGAATTTTTGCCATTGGCAATAGGCAGTGAGAAACAGCAGGTGTAAAAAAACCTCACTTCATTACAGAGTTGGTTTTGAGGCAAAAAACTATGGGAAGAAGTATAAAGCCGTTGTCCTCTCATCCCCCTCTATTTTCCAGTGTATCTCTGCTTCCTGTATTAACTACTCTGTGGGGAGAAATCTCAGTCTATTTTCTTAGCTGGGAGTTTAAGTAAGTCCATGCTCCATTTGAAGGTGGGGACAGCACTCTGAAACAGCAGGATTATGAGCTTCCCATGAGTCATGGTCATGACAGTCTGATGTCCAGATGCCCAGATTCGGTACCAGGGCCCATAAAAAGGATCTGAGATGGCTGGGCACAACATGTTGTTCAAATTCACTTCTGTAACCTGAGGAAGCAACAAAAAATTTATCAATTAACAATATTCTTATCTTGCACGGATTCACCTAAAAACAGTGAAAATTTAGAGAATTACCATAATAATAAAAACTGTTCAGGTGACCCACATTTGCTCAACACAAGAAGGGCAGCTTTCAGAAAAAAAAAAAAAGCAGACACAAATTTAATAAATGGATTTATGCAGGTACATAACCAATCTATGAAATATTTCACCAGTACTTGCAAGATAGAATATACAAATTATCATTAGAACACAAGATTTGCATACTAGTAGCCTTATCAAAAATTTGCATGCAAGTAGTCTTATTCATGTAGACTGGACACTCAAACTACTCAGTGTTTTTACTCTGAATGTACTTGCAGACTATCCATTTATTAACCTGGGTTTACTTACCAATCCCAGGATCTGCAAGATGCTAAAATGATACACAAACATAAACCCCGTGGATAAAAGAGCCCACCAGAAATTGCAGAGCGGTTCAGGGGTGTAGACACCTTGAAAAGAAAGGAATATATTAATGTTCAGCTGCACTGCTGCGCCCATCACACTCTCAATGAATAATCCTCTCTCTCCTACTCTCTGGATGTCAGGGCATCTGGCTTGAGCTGATAACCTCCTTAATACCATTACAGTAATTAATATTTGAGAGCTTTATTTCTTACTTGAAGCATCCTGATTAGCTTCTTCCCTCCTTCTTGTCCAGCAGTGAAATTTACAGTATGTTACCTTGCTAAATTTGTCTATTTTTTAACCAACATCAATGATTTTTACTTCATTCTTCCTTCTACCACAGAAGTAATAATGCAATAATGGTGTACAATGAATCATTTAAAAAATCATGTTATTTATACTTAAACACTGCTTCTTGCAGGGATTATGATTTCAGCATGCACAGAACTGATTTCGGCAGCATCAGGTCCTGCACAACCTATATTAGAGCACAGCTTAATTGTAATTTCCTAATTTTATGGTTGTTTAACAACTATTAATAAGGAACTTACACCAATAATGCCAAGGAACAGAAAAGCTGTATCAGATGGTCAATCCATTAATGACAGGCTTTTAAATTAAAGCTGCTGTGGAAATATTTTCAGATACACACTGCAAACAGTTTTATAATCAGTAGATATCACACACACTGTAAAATACTTTTTCCCTTCAAATGAAGTAGCAGATATATTATTCCAGCCTTTCTCTACCCTCTTAAAACCAGGTTTTACTAACAAAACACAACGTTCCCTGATCTAGAATGTACCAACGAAACCAGATTTAATAAAATTACTCATAGATACAAGACTATCTTGGGAATTAAATATTGAAATTTCATATGGTAAGAACAAAACCAGTTTAAAGAGTTCTCTAGATTCTTACTAGCAGACATGAAACTTGTACTGTAAGGTATGTGGAAAAATACTATTTTCCTTATGACTTAATAACTTAGCCTCAGAACACAAAAGAAAGATGCACAATGTCATGCTGTTAGTCTGCTCCAAGAGTTTCAGAGGATTATAAAAATCCACTGGCAATTTTTATCTGCTCTCTGATCCATTAGATATTATTAAATACTGGAACATGTATCCAGTACTCAAAGGACAGCTTAGAGCACAGAGTGCAATACTGATACTTGCCTTGGCTAGCCAGCACACTCGGTAATTACCAGGAAGTAATTAAAGATTTCAGCATACACTGTACAAGGCTACTGGGAACTTAAATAACTTCACATGCAGAGTAGCTACCACAGCATCCATCACACCAAAGCTGCTATGAAAATGCTGTGTATGGAATCTTGTGGAGATAAATACAAGTAAGTGCTGTGACCACATCACTGTTTAATGCTGCATCCCAGTTCAGGTTTAAGATCTCTAGAGCAATGCTTCCTCAAGCTCTGTGACCCTTTCAAAATTATTTTCTGTATGGCTTCCTTCCATAATTTGTACCCGTCAAGCCAGTTCAAATTGATTTTGCAGTAGCTACCTGAAATAAGTTCAATTAAATAGCATTTTGTGAATGCTACAGATTCAAAATCACCTACACGCACATCCACACAGTATCCACTCCCAAGAACACAAGTGCTGTGCTGCTGATTGCACAGGGTAAGACTATGTGTGTGAGTGCCAGCAGCCTATCTGCACCCACGCCTGGTTCTAATGAGGAACTGGCAGCAGTGTCATGACTCCAGGTATCTCTGTACACCATGGTTCAGTGAGCAAGCTGGGACTTGGGGAGCCCATGATAAACTCGGGCATGGGAGCTACTTGGAAAGCACAGGGCAACTTGTAAGGTTTCTTAATGCAGTGGGAAGGTGAAGGCCAGAAGTGTCTGAACAGCTAGTAAAACCAAAGGTAAAAGCAAACGCTCCAGGAATCACTTAAGTTCTCCAGGTAAAGGGAAAAAATTCCCAACAGTAATTCTTGGGATGCACTTGGCAAGTCTAAGCTAAAAGCTGGCATCCTATTTAGAAAACGGTGCAGAAGTCTTGACTTTGATAGCAATGATAGTTATTTAACTGCATGGCCTGAAAACATCAGATAGGTGATACCACCTTGAATATGCTTTTTCATTATAGAGAGAAGAGGAGGAGGAGGAATGAGCCCTGGTGTCAGAGTGGAGGAGATCACGGCTCTATTTTTGGCTGCACCAACTTAAGGTCACCTGGTCAAGCTTTACAGAAACTATCTGTGCTCCCTCTGCTGTAAAGAAAACACTGCTTGACTTCCAAAATTTATTTATATTGTCCTTGCAGTTTTAGGTGCATATTTAACCTAAATACAAAACACAACATTTAAATTTAAAAAGCAGCTCCCAGGAGCTGGCTGAGCAGTGCTAAATCAAATTAGGTTTCTGTTGGAAGTTGCTTGTGTTATTTCAAAAGTATTTGACAAAGCCGGATGAGAGTCTGAAGGGGTGAACACTCAGGAAAGCTAAAATACAGATACCTCCATATTCAGGTGACTTACAGTACAGGTAGGGTATAAATACTAATATAGGCAAGACCTGTAGACCCAAGCTACAAAATGAGACTGGAGGGAGACAGCAGTCATTAAAAGACTAAGGAAATTGCACAAGATGGCAACATAGATCCATGGCACAATTTGGCTTTAAACCCAGGCTTCTCATGTCCAGCTTCAGTCTAATCAAGGAATGGTATTTCAGAGGTCCCTTAGCAGAGTTGTTCAGATTCTCCCAGCAAGGAATTGCACTCTGCTACATTCTCGCTCTGTTGCAAAATTAAAAAAAAAAAAAAAAAACAAACATCAGCAACTTTTGCTCTCTACAGATTTTTGGTATTGCTTTGTACTAAAAATATCTATCCTTATTAGACTTCGCAATCCTGAAAATAATGGTGTGATTTTCAGCAGTAGCACTATTTGGACATCAAAGGACAAAAAGGAAACACTGACCTCCAAAGAAAAACATTTTGGAACATTCTAGATTCCACAGTGTACTTTTGGAAAGTAATTTTAAATTCATACCTGGGAAATTTTCTGCACATTTCTCATTAGATAAATACCCACCATAGATTTTTTTTTTACTTTTGAGCCCTGCTATTTAACAGATTGCTGTTTAATGGACCAGTGTGGTCCATTTTTTCCATAGTATGGTCTGTTAAAAAAAAAAAAACAGCACAAACAGGAAAACTGAGAGCCAGCTGACTGGTTGTTTGAAGAGCCTGTGTTGGCTTTGGCAAAAGCTACTTGCATAGGAAATCAGTTTCAATAGGTGGGAGCAGAAAGTTTCACACTCTATTTATAAAGGATTATGGGCAGTTCTTATACATTAAGCACTTACAGAAATTTAGTCCAAGTACCAGTCTGACACTGATCTCATTCTCAAAAACACGCCCAAGACAGCTGAGATCATTCCAAGCTGGGGCCATCTTGGTAGGCTGCATGTTTGCTTCTGTGTTGAAATAGCATGGCAGAGGATACCTCCATTTAAATTAAACTTCATTACTTCAACAGCATTGATACAAATGATTCCATAAAGACTGAAGAGTTTGGAGGTTCTTCATCTGTTTCTAAACAAGATTTTGTTGACCCTGAATATGCCAAGTTGTTCATTTTGCCATCTAGGAAATGGAAGCATGGCTTTAAAAAACTAAAGATCAACAAAGAGATGCCATTTTTTAAAATAATGCTCTGTCTTGGTTTAATTTTGATTTCCCGGCCAATGCACCGAATTAATGTCTCCGTTTTGAGTTGCCAATTTAAATAAACTTGTTTTTCCTGTTGTGAGACAGAACCAGGAGCAAAAGAGCAAGGCAGGCCTAAAACTTGAGAGAGTATAAAAGAAAATTTATTAACTATACAAACAAAGAGAAAGGAAAAAAAGAATTCAGAATAAGATTTTTCAGATGACTCCTTCCCTCCCTCTCCCAATCTTCCTAACAACAAAACAAACATATAACAAATACTTCAGTCAGTCCCCAGTTTAGTCTTTCTCAGTTCACTTCTGGAGAGAGAAGCCTCTTCTTGTTGAAGTTGTAGGGATTTTTCCCACAAGAAGGAAAAAGACAGTTCTCTTGTGGTTTCATCTTTCACGATTTGCATCCGCCCAGGAACCTGCAACCGTGACGCTCCTCCCAACTCCACAGCCACCCCAAAGCTGTAGATGTGGGCCATGTCTGTCCCATGGGGTATTACTTTTAAGAATGAAATGTTCAACAGCAAAGATTCTCTCTGTCTCCTTTCTCTCTGCTCAGGCTTCATTTCCAGAAAACTGAAATCCCCTTCTTTTCTCAGGGCAAAAATTCTCAACACGGGTGCTCTTTAGTCAAATCATCTATTAAATGGAACATTTCCATCCCCCCATGTCTCTTTCCATGGTTTATAGGAATATTCAGTACATCAGTTCATCCCTACAATTTCACAAAAAGATTTTCAGCCATTTCAGCATCTTCTCATTCTCCTTCCATCTTAAAAACTTAGCTCTTACATCACTGACTTCAGAAATCTTCTTATTCCCTTTCATATTCAAAGGAAAGGCTGGAGGCTTTGCAAATCTTATCTGAACACTTAAGAGTTAAAGTTTAACACAACTACTAAAGTTAGGCCAGGCTCAGGCCGCGCTGGGAGGCAGCTGAGGTGTCAATCAGCCTTTCTGGGGCTGGGCTGCAGCCCCACACTGCTCATGGCCACCCGGGCAGGCCCGGCCCGGCCGGCAGCAGCAAGAGTCGGCCTCCCCCCACGCCAGAGCCGCGGTCCCGTGGAGGAGGAAGCCGTGAAGGTGTCATCACACAACCTTTTCTCCCCCCTGCCATCGGGTCCCCTCGTTGGCAAACGGGGCCCAAGCGGCCTCCTGAGCCTCCCCCGGCATGGGGGAAGGGGAATCTCGGGTTGGTGTTACCTGCTCAGCCACCAGAAAGACAAAGAGGCTCAGTTCCGGATTACCTCCTTCAAAATGTGTGTGCACGGAGCAAACTAACTTTCTCTAACTGGCTGTTGCAGCTGTCACAACCCCCACAGAGGAAATTCTCTTAGAGCAAACCTCTCTCTGAGTTTCTTCTTCCTAAGTCAACCTATCACATGCTCCCTCCCCACAATGTGCTAGTTCAAATGCTCTTATGAACTATTATTTTTATTTAAAATTCTCAATACACAGATTTCTGAAAATTTGAACACAACTTAATAGAAAGTGAAAACATAATGCAGGATAAAATTAATCTCTGTTTGAATTAGAGAATTCAAATCTAAATATAGTACACAACTTTAATTTAGTAGGGTTTAAAATAATCTCTTTAATGACTTGCTTTCATTCCCACTACTTTTGATAGAGCTTTATGACTTTTCCAGTGCTGCACACTCTCATTCAGCTGTCTTACAATTACAAGTAGACCTGCTTAATTCAAAACTCAGAGCAACTATTACAATAGTCTTATTTTCAAGCTTACAAAAATGTGAGGGCAAATTTATTTTCCTTTTATTTCCCTTGATTAGAGGGTTAATTCCAGTTGAGTGGCCTATTGAGCTAGCCTAAAGATAAAACCTCCTTTGCAGGGGAAAACAGGAAAAAAAGTTTTTAAGAGGATGATCCTGAAATCCGTGTTTCCCCTATAGCCGTTCTAACTCCATCTGTAGGTTTCAAACTAGTATCATCTGCCAGGAGGTTTCTGTTTCCCCTCAGTGCCAGCTACTCTCATCAGAACCAGCTCAGACAGAGCTCTTACAGTACTTGCTTCTCTTTATATTCCATAAAGCAGTAGGAGTAGCTCTTCCTCTACCTTCATATAGTAACAGCACACAGAGCTACCATGCTGCTCAAGGTGCCATGGCACAAGCACAGCTCAACAGCAAACCACACATTTATATCTAATACATGGCATTCAGCAGGTAGAGAAATGTGGAATAGGAACATGGAATTGCTAGAAGCAGAGCAGGGAAATAAAACACAAGAGTCAACAGGTCTCTAAGTAATTCAGTTTCAGCAAAAGAGTTGTATAACACATTATCAAGTATTTCAATGAAGATTGAAATGGACTAGATTTATGACAACCTAATTTTATCTAAATATAAAGTGGTATTTCTCCTGGATTACTACTAAAGGTATATAATAAAGACTGTTTGGTAACTCCTTTAAAAAGCTAAGGAAAGAATTACCTAAAGATAGTAAGCGTCACAAAGTGGGAAAGCGGCTGACATAGGGTGCAACAGCTAAAAAAGTCTTTAAATATGGTAATCCCCCACTCTAGCCAGAAAGTCCTAACAGCCAATGGAAAACACAAGTTTAGTGTTTTAATTGCACTTTCCTAATTTACAACCAAAGGAAAAATTATCCTTTCATCTGTACTTGGTATCTGTGTGCTGCATCTACCAACAAGTCCAGGTGGTCATGAAGTCAGGAACGCTGCCCTGCTCTGAGGGAGCTGCCTTTACTGGGCTGCTTCTGCCCAGCTGCTGAGCACAACAGAAGCATTCTCTGTGAGAAGGGAAAAAAGGAAAATAAAATCAACAACTTCAACTGACTGTGTGATAATGCCACAGAGTTTCTCCTTTGACGCCACTTTTGAAGACATTTAGATCAACAAAGAAAAGGGCTTTAGGACTTGAGTCGGACCCTGGCTCTTCTTTGCCTATAAAGATAACAGCACTTGCCTAAGAAGAAAATTCTGTTTCTATTCCCTGCAAATAGCTCATTTATTTAGCGGCAAATCGGCTCTTAAGACACACAGGGCCAACCCAGAGGGATGCTCGGCACTCGCAAGGCCATCACTGCACGGTCCGGCTCACGAAGGGAACTTCCTGCGTCCGCCCCGCACCCAAACCGCGGAGCTTCCCTCCCCGCGCGGCCTCACGGGAGAGGCCGGACACAGCTCCACCTGCCGGCCGCGCCCCGCGGCGCAGCCCCTGTGACAGCAGCCCCGGGCCGAGCGCGGGCTTTGCCCGCAGCTGCAGGACAGACGCTCAGCATCGCTCCCTGCAGCCACAGAATCCTAAACACCTTAATGCCAGCCTTTTCTACCTACTGGAGTTACTAACTCAAACAAATAAGACTGGAGATATCAAAACACAGGGCAGATCATCTCCTGAGGTGTGCTGCTACGGAGCTGCTACAAATTTACCCTTATTTCAACCTGTGGTGGAATAATGTAATTTAGAATATAATTTGATCACTGCATTAAGGAAATAACAATTCCACCGTGATTAAATTTCAATATGAATGGATATTCTGAAATAAGGTGTACACCTGATCTTGTCAAATCCATTGGAAAACCTGACCAAACAAACTCAAGACAGTCAGAAAGAGTCATCATCAGTCTCTAAAGCTGATGTTGGTAAAGTCCCCACACTTACAGGGTCAGGAGGGACATGCAGGTTGCCAGTGCAGCATGAACAGTCTGCACCACCGTAATAAATAGCAGGAAAAGAGACAAATAATATAAAATAACAATAATATAAATAATAAATTATTACAGCCCTTGCTTATTGTCACCCGTTTCCTTTCAAAGCAGAAACACTTCAGCAAGGAGTTGGATGTGTGTGCATGGCTGGTGCAATACTTGATTAGAGAATTGCAAGCAAACTTGAGGGTGCAGTTCTCTATAGCCTGAGCATCAAATCCACTCTGCTTCAGGTGTTCTGCTCATCCTGTCTTTGAGAAACATTTGGATCCTATCAAGGTCACCAGTAATATGGGCAGATTCCAAATAAAACTGAAGTAGTGTGTTTTTCCAAATACAAGCCATTCCTTTTAATTTTTTTCAATTTTCTACCCTTCAATTACTTCTCTCAGTCATAATCCACAGATTCACTGATGGAAATTTCTATTTACAATACTGAAATCAAGCTGCACGTGGATCAAGGTCAGCAATGAAAAAGCAATTTTCACAAGATACAGAACTCAGGACAAAGGCCTGTGCAATCTACTCAGGAAGTACTTAAACAGAGGTAGTAGTGAAATGACAACATTAAGAAATATTTTTAGGTTGCATAATTTTTCCATCAAAAATGGTACATTAGGTCACCTGGGGCAGGAGTTCATCTGTGTTTTGCTAATTACAGCTAGTCAGGTGATGAGGAGCCAAGTGCCTAAGAAATGGAGCAGTTATAACTTAAAACAGCCCAGCACAATTGACAGGTTTAGACAGTGAAGTTCTTTTAGCAATTTTACTGCCCTTACGTCAACATTAGATGGCAGCAAATACCTGTACATTAATACAAGGCAGGCATTCAGAATACTGAATCAGGGTGACAACTGTCTGACATCAAACCCTTCAAACTGCAAATCCAGATCTTTTCAGTCCCAGGTCCTGAAGAACCCTCAGAACCTCTACGTCAAAATAAGCAAAAAGCCAAACCAAACCAAACCACCAAACAATCAAAACTTAACACATCAAGTGTCATACAAGACCAAGCCTGTTTAAAGCAAAGGACGTACATGTCTTAAAGTGACCTCAGATGGGAACTCCAAGGCCACCAAGTGATTTATGACATCACAAGAGCCTTGTCTGTCATTACCTACAGTTCACTCCACAGCTGCTTATGTCTTCTGCCCCCTGCTCCTCACCCTCCTCCTGCAAAAATTATGAGTTTGTGTAACTCCTACAATTACCCTGCACTTTGGCATTATTTGCCAGAATTTTAGGATATCAAGGGTGGATTAAAATTAAACATGATAAAAGAAACAGAATCATCTTTTGAAGTATGAGACTTCATTTTTCCTTTGAATAATTTTTCTTAATTTCACTCAGCAGGTCACAGTGCAATCAGGTCACTGCAACACAAAGGTTACAGTGAAATAGGGTGAAGGATTGTAAGTGACTGCTGGTATAAAACACAATGCATTCAGCAGGATGGAAGAGCCTGACTGTATCCCATTGCTTGACAATGTGGAAAATGCAGGCACAGAAAGCTCCCAAGGCCTTGTGCATACAGGCTTAGAAACAGAGATCGATACAATGTTTGACCTAAGACCTTGGAGAAGGCTTGGAGAATTAGAGCCTTGAAGTGAAACAGACATGAAACAAGAATATAAGTTTAAGTTTGTAGTTAAAGTAGAAATATATTTTAAGCAAACAGAAATATGTATAATGTAAGCAAAGCAATATGTTAAGTAAGATAGTAAAAAATTTTAAAGTTTAGCAATAGAACCTGTTATAAAGTTAGAATTTTAAGATATATCAATGTGAGTTTATAAAGTGCTATATGATTGGTTGAAAAATGACACATTGCAGTAAAGCCATGAAAGAAAAAGTAATTAATGATTGGTGTAAAAAGACACTAGCAAACTTTGAGGAAGCATTTGATTGGCTAAAAAACTGATATAACACATTGTGACTAAGAATTAGATTGGTTTCTGATGTTACAGCGTTGAATCTAACACCTTTAATGTCTCACCCTTCCATGAGACTTATAATGCCATAAAGCAATAAACCATCTTTTACAACGTCTCTCAGTAGTCTCATCTCTCATAAAGTAATCCTGATAGACACCACATCCTCAGGCCTTTCATTAAAGGCTACTGAACGTGTGGATCACAAATGTTTATATTTTATTTCCTGGATGTAACAGTGAAGCTCTGCTACAAAATGCAGCTGAAGGCATGTCAGCACTAGAGGGGGGCAGAGCATCACACCAGCTGAATGTCTATTGCATTCCCTTTGAAGATCTGCAACTGGACTTTATTTAGGACTCCCAGACTTACTGGACTATTATGGCATAAGTGAATGCAAGATGACAATATTGTTAGAAGAGATAACAAGCAATCTAGTTCATTCAGTGATATGTGTCACTACATTTCACTGGAGCTTCAGAATTTCTAGGATTTATCTAACTAGACAACCAATTTTCTTTTATTTTTTTTTCCTCATTGCTTATTTTGAGTTCCAGTAGTTCTCAAGAGACATTCAAGAAGGTAAAGATCTTAAAAATACATCCCACCAACAACTGCGAATATTTCAAGATGGCAGAGATGCTGCTCAAGAAGACAATGCACATTGTGCAACTACATTCTAAATACCCTTCAGGCAAAAGACCATTTTTACAGTTTTTGTTTTGTACCTGACACAATTCATTACCTGGGTTAAAACTCCTGGGTTAAACATTAGAACACTAGAACATCAGGAACTATTCACTAAAAACAGAGAAAATTGGTTAAAAAAAAGGGTAAGAATAAAACTGACTGTATCCAGTAAATACAGTGTTTTCATTCCACAGGACCAGTTCAATCCATACAGAGTAAACTGCCTACCTACCTCCTTTCTGCAGCAGATAGATGGGCACAACATAGAGCATCACATGCTGGATGTAATAAATCTCTGTTTCAAATGGAAGCTGTGGAATAAGGAAAATATTTGTAAGTATTTTCCTCACTAAAAACCAAGTTCCTAGGAACAATTCTCTTTCTAACCCATGACAATGCCTTCAGTTATTTTATCACCTATGTATAATAACTAACATTAATGGTCAGTGCCTTGAAAGTGCAGCTAACTGTACACATTGCATACCCCTTAACACAAACACAACACTTCCAGCAGGTAATTCCCTGCTAGAAACTAACCAAAGAAGGAATAACAAAAGATTGCTCTTTCCCTTTCTTTGCTAGCACGAATTACCAATACTAATGCAAACCACTCACGTAATTAAATCAGAAACTACGAATACCCCCACAGCATAGAAGCCTTTTTAGAAAAATATACTTGCCACTTGTGAGAGAACTCTATAAATGAGGTCTTCTGTATATAAAAGTATATAAATACATATATACAACTAATTACTGAGGAGGCCTGTGCAAAAAATCAAAAGACCCAATTTATAGCAACCTGCATGCATGTACAAAACTGCTAAGCTTGATCAAATATAAATTCAAATAGAAAATGACCAGTCATTTATTGGTTTTAAAGACAAGCTGCAGAATTATGTGCAAACAAGTTACCAGTTAATAGTGAATCAGATATTTCTCACCTGCTGCTAACTTTTGGGAAATTACAATTAGCCATTTGTGTTTTTATTTGAATTAGTGTAACTGCTCTTCTAAGAAGTCAAATACCTAAAATAATACTAAAAATATCTTCAACCATAACTCTGCATTTGAGCCTCCTAATCCAGACCCAATTATTTCTAGCTCTTTATCAGTTAGAAAAGGGGATGCACTGTATTTGAAAGTTACTCCCATCTCTAAGTACCCTACCTTATATCTAGTTATTATACTAAAGCAGCACATTTAAAACTGAACAAAATTTAACGTAGTAGAAAACAATCAAAAATTCAGAATTCATCTTTTTACTGCATCTGACTTAGAGAACTGAAAAGCCACACTGTTGCATTATTTTTCTGAATTGAAAATTGGACAATACCACAAATATAAAATCTCATGGGAATAATGAAAAGCTTTGGTTCAAACGCAGACTTGTTCTGTCATTTTACAGCCAGAAGAATTCAGACCTACCACTGTGGTTTGCATGTTGGAAAGCAGGGAGTGGTGAGAAAAGCCTTCCTTTTCTATGTCTCTTCTGAGACACTAAAGTCACAGCCTTGAAACTGAATCGCTACAGAAATTTCTACAACAACAGAAGAGAGGTTGAAAGAGTTTGATTTTCTTCCTAAACAGTAGTCAAACAGTTGGTAAATAACATAGTGATCTTTTAAATTCAACTACAATTCTTATATCCTATTTTGAACATAGAAGATTTTAAAACCAACAACTGAATTATGCTAGTCCTGGCATTCCCCCACTGAATACTGTCTGTGTCCTGATGGCAACCTCCAAGGTTGTCAGCCACCTGGTGTGGGGACTAAACTAAAACAATCCTCCTGTACAATCTGTTGGGTTATTTCATTGCAAGTATTCTATATCAAAACGAACACAAGCAAGGTAACAGTATGCAAAAGCAAGAACTTAATGAAAATAGTGAGATTTCCTAAATCTGAACCTTTCCTGCTGTCCTTTGTTAAACAACACAGAGAGCAAGGTGAGGGAATTAAAATTATTTGCGATGAGGCTAAAGCAGTGTTCCTAACTGGAGAAAAAGCTGTACCTCTCCCACTTCAGAAACAATTGCTCCTGATATAAGCACCACAACATGAGGCACTCAATCCTGCCAAGAAGCATTCCCCATTTATCTGTGATGTCAAAAGGGCTTCAACAGCCATGGAGTTGTGAGGATCTGTTACACAAACACTGTGCTAGGACACTCCCGAAAACAGAGTAACAGTTGTTATGCTACAGTAGGGTTGACAGTATTTTTTTTGTGTATTAAACAAAACATCTTTATCCCACTGTAAAAGATGGATTGTTCTGAAGCCTGGCTGATTCTGCAAGTGCATTTCCTGCTACAGAGCTGCAAAGTTGCTGTACAACCAAGCACTGAAGTTGTACAGTCAGGCTGCAGAAAAAGCAAGCTGTACTGAGCAACTAACTCACCTGCATCTTGTGCCTTGTCTATAAACAGTTTTATCAATAAAAGACTCACTCAGCATAAGCACCTTTCACATGCAAGGAGAAACTGGAAATGAAAACAGGCACAAGGGATCATCCATCAATGAAGGATTTACAGAATCTTTTTGTGAAAACAAGTAAGACTTCACGTGCTAGTTTAAACCAGCTACTGCCCAAAGAGAACAATGAGATCTTTCCATGCATTGAACTCAGCTTTAGAAAAATCTCTTCAAGGCAGCAGTAGAGTGGAGCCCAGAACTCAGATATTTTGAGTTCACCCCAAAAGAGTATGGACATAATACTAATTTTGATTAAACACTCAGACACAACAGTTTGTTTTCAGTGGGCTCACAGGTTAACACTTTGCTCTGGTTTCTCACAGTAGCATGCCACTCTCTGTAAATATTTACACCCTGGCTCAAGAACTGCACTGTACAAGAGCACCTACTCCATCATTCTCTACAAAGACTGCAGAGTGTAGCAGAAAAGGAATAGAAGGAACTCAGTTCTCAGATTCTGGTCTTTCCTGTATTACATCTAGAACACAGCCTAATAAACAACAAATGTTGTACTGTACCAGCCACCTTCTTAGATGTTATCAGTAAATTACACAGTCATACCATTTTAATGCACGCAGCATGTACAAGTGCCCAAATATGCACAAACTTTGGCCTTATCACCTATCAGCCACCCAAGCACAATCTCTCAACGGTCCCCCCCACTGTTCCTGTTGTTTTCCCTTGTGCCAGTTAGATTAAGACAGTTTAGAGATGACAGTATGCTACCACAACCTATTCTATTCTGCTCTGCAGGTACAGCCATTACAGGCAAACTATTTAGTGCAGTGAATTATGACTCTAACAATTAACAACAACACAGCAGCCAATGATTAGAGCATACATGGAATACACTCACAAAGTTTTGCTCAGAGTATGATTCTGCTACTAACAGATTTAGAATGTGGACCTCCCAGGCCATATAGTCCTAAGAACAGAACATAGCAGCTTCTAGAAACATTAAAACTGCACCATCACAGCCATGTGAGCTGACACCCATATAGCCAACACTTCTGAGACATGTCCTGTTTTTTACTTTATCTATATCAACATATTCAGGACACCAGCTTACAAAAAACGCACACTTCTAAATCAGTGGAAAGATTTATCTTTAAAATTTGATAAATGCAACAGGAAAGCTCAAAAAAACCCAGCTACTTTCCCAACAGTTGGAGTCTTTGTGACAGTTAAATGAATTTACATGTGCAGCCAGGTTATCAAGACCTACACTAAATATAGATACAAAGAAAGAATAGAATATAAAGACAAAATCTTCCTACTCCTGTATATCCTCTTATACCTTGCTGGCTCCCTTTTGGGAGCCTAACAAGCCAATTCCCTCAGCATCTTCTTCTCCTTTATTTCTGAAAAGGTAAGAAGAACTCACAAAAACACTGACTGGACAAGGAACAGTTTTATCTTTATCCAATGCCTAGCCCAAAGCACAGAATTTAATTCCATCAGCACATGGCAAATAATGTAGCAAATAACTGCAATATTTAGGTGCCAAACAAATACAAGTGGGTGCATCTGTTGCTTAAGCCTGCCAATTGTTGGCACCTCAACCTCATGCCAAAGCAGGAAAATATTTTCTTGGAAAGAACAGAATAGACTGAACTCACCTTTCAGGCCACTTTTTTTTTTAACACCATCCCAGCTGCCTGTTATAGTCCATAAAAAAATTTAAATGCATTGTTTAGCATAGTTTGACTGAAAGATTAAAATAACAGAAGGTAGAAACTTTCTACTGTTGTTTCAGTGATTATCTCAATTCTCCATTTTCACTGGCAATATGCTACTATTTCAAAAGAATTTTGAAATTACTGAGGTTCTAAAAAAATAAAGAACAAAAAAATTAACAGATGCATTACAAGAAAATGGAAACCATGAAATTATGCCAGAAGTTTCCACTTCAGGATAACTTAACACTGAAGCATATTTACAAAAAGATACTAGCATTTCATTAAGTAATTTAATTGGTACCAAAAGCACATGACCCTAACAGACTGTGCCACAAAATGTAAGAGATGTTCTCGAAAATAATTTGAACAAATTAACACTTACAATCCAAATCCTGATACCCACTAAAACATCCATCATCTGCTGAAGCAACGACTGTCATTCTGAATGACTGAATCAAAAGTTTTTCACTTCAGTATGACAACAGAGATCAGACAACTTAGAAAAAAATGAGGTTTTTAAATTCCTACTAGGTTTTAGGAGACATTTCCTGCTTTCAGGAAAAAAAATCTGCTGTGCCTAATCTTGGGGGAGAGGGAATGACAGTCAACAACAACATTTGGCATTTTCTGGGCCTAAGGAATCTTACATTTACACAGTTTCAAAGGTCTGAAACTGAATTTTGACCACAGGGCACAAGGTTAACCTGGGAAAGCCTCTTTCAAAGCCATCAAGTTTTCCCTCCATTAGTGGCTAGAACGGAACCAACACTCAATACAACACTGCCGTCTTTTTACACTGAGTTATTAACTTACAAAAATCCAAGATTGCCATTTTGGCTCCACTGTAGTAACCAGGAGTCTACAGCCTGGTAAAAAGAACTTTAAAAGGCCAAGCAAAGTAAACATCTGACATCTCCCCAAAAATAATGTTTCAGAAATAAATAAAAAAGGAAGAGGAGGGAAACCACAGTTCACTCACCAGACGTGTATTAACAACAGGAAACAGCAATGCTAAGAGGGCCCCATTCAGCATATGCATCTGCAACCTTAGGAAAGAGATGGGATATTATTTTCACAGATTAAAATAAAATGCAATATTTTCACGTCTTTCATGTAGTATCTCCTCAATAAAAGATAGCAAGACACTTAAAAAGAGTTTGGGCTTGAATTTGAATTAAGTCACTATTCAATGCAATAAAACAGAACAAAAACTTATCTTTAAATACACTCTTAAAGAATTTCCTAAAGGACTGCTTTCTATAATGAGCTTTGGATTCCTAGAAAGCCTGGACTGCCCATAATCCTGTTCATGATGTAAGCTGCTAAATAGTAGGAATTCTGCTGTTCATTTGTTTTCCAGAGCTTAAAATAGCATCTTTGATAATGGATTTTACTCCCCTTTAATGCTGTGCACAAACAGCTTTAAAGTAAAGCTTTAAGAATTTGAAAGAAATCCCTTAAATAAAAGAATTACATTTATCAAAATACAACAGCAAGTCCTTAGCAAAGCACAAGGCAGGAAAGTAGTATTATACAGTGCAATTTTACAGCTTTCAGCCATCTTTTTCCTGAACTACTGTTGGATGGCAGGAACAGAAAAGTAGTATCAGAACTGTTTCAGTATATTTTACATCAGACACAAAGTAAAGAATAAACTATCTCCCACCACTGTTTGTCAAACTCCTAGGAATTTGAAAGTAACTTGAGGAAGGAAAAGGTATTAGTCTTAAAACAGATTTTCAAATATAATTTGTATGCTGTCAGGGTGTTGTAAATGGATACACCCATTCTGGAAAACAACAGATATGGTGGTCTCTGCTCTACAACTGGTCTTCAGCAGAGATTTCCTGGACATAGCAGACATATTTTTCATACTCTCCAAGACAGAGATGCTAATACAGGGTCTTTGTTCAGCATAATCCCTGCAGAAACAAGGAACAGCAGGGAAAAGCTGCAGAAAGCCTGTCTAAGGCATTCCCCCAGCATCATTTTTGCCTAGACCAAGACAAGGAGAGCAGAGTTTAATGTCACAGTGGCAACTACAGCCATTCCCAAGTACCACTGCCCAGGAAGTCCCTGACTCTCCCCACAACACTTCAGCTGCACCCTCAGCTGCACACTGGAATCTGCTGCTGCAGCCCATTAGAGACTCCTGCACATCAGAGACTCTTGTGGTTCCTGAAGTTAGTAACAATATGCAGTATTTTAGAAAAGACTGCACAGATCTGAGAAATGCCCAACCAAGCCAGAGGGAATTTGCTTTGCCTATTTAACTTTACCTATCCACAATTTTGCAATCAGACCCAGACTGCCTGCACGGCTTCCAGCAAGGCCTAGTTTACTAACTTCTACTGAGGATGGTAAAAAGGTTCAAGGCCCATGACACAAATTACAGTAGCTCGTACATTAATCTGCATTAATCTACTGTTACTGAGCTAATTCCTGTTCATAAGCGAGGCCAAACCCACTAAACACACAAGAAGCAAGGATAAGGAGCCCAACACCCCAATTTAAGCCCTGACCCTTTTCAAGGTGTCATTTTTCAATCCAACCAATATGCCTTTACTACTTGATATTTCCCTTAGTATTTTATAAATTCAGCAGTGATTAGCTTCTAAAATATATCGAACAAGTAGACAAATACAGTAAGGAAGAGGTATTACCTGAAGACAATCATTGCAGTCTGACAGGGGGGACAGGCAAGAAGAAAAATCTGAAATGTTAGAAACAAATTTAAATTAATGACAGTGACCTCTTTTAGAATCCATTTTCTAGTTCTTTCCTACTCTGTTCTGTATGCCACAAATCATTTCTTGCCCAAAGATGCACTTTACAGCAGAGCTGGAAAAGACTTAAAGTCTTTAACAAATCAAAAGGTCTCCTATTACCTACAGATAAAAAGATTTAAGCAGTATGAGCAGCACTGAGGGTTCAGCTTCTCCCAGTGCCTACGAAACCAGCCAAATTCTAGCCAGTTATTATTGGCATTATAAAAGTTCTCTCAAGAACCTGATTACTGTATCACCAATCTTCTACTACAACAGTTCCCTCAATAATGGTAAAGTCCTTGCTGTGGTATCAGCATTTGCAACAACATCACCACAGTCCTCCTCTTCACCAGTGCCTTCACAGTAACTTTAAAAACTTCATATTAGCAAGTCTTGCTCTAGATATGAGGAGATTACTACATAAATGTTCAGTAATAAATATTCTCTTTTTTATGATGTCCACTACTGCAAAGACAAGACTCTGGTTTACTGTTCAGTGTTTCAGCAAAATATGGATCACAGTTTTCACTGCTGGTCCTAAAATAAAGTCACAGTACCTTATTTCATTGACAACCAACAAAACAAATTATCACTAAATCGAGTGAGAACATTTGGAGAGTATGTCTACTTTTGTGGATGCCAAGTTGGACAATTCACCAAAAGTGTTTCTTTCAAGCATTGCAGAGTTAGGAAGAGGCCTCCAATGGATACTGAAATGAATCAGTACCAGACCATGTACTTGCAAGCAATAGAAGATGTGTTGAAATCTGGATCATCCTACTGAGCCCTTTCATACACAAGGGGCTTCCTATCATTACTATACACATAAATGTACAAGTTCCAAATATTTTATTTCTAGGTCAAGTTCTTAATATACAGGCATCTGTATGTTCTATTCGACTCTCAACAACAGCTTAGAACAGAACACACACTCAAATTGTTTTTCCCAAGTCATAAAACACTCTAACAAAGGCACAGTAAGAGAGGCAGCAATTAAATTTAATGGAATGTACCTCAAGACATTTTCTTACTGAATACTGTTAAAATCCAACCAGTTTCTCTGAAGTCTTGCATTTAAACAGCAAGCAATTTCAACTCATTAGGGCAAGTTAAGGAGGAGGAGAACAGGTGCATTATTAGAATCACTAATGGATGTTTTCCTGTGCTAACGGAAACAAAGAAGAAAAAAGTACATGCCAGAAAAATCTTATGAGACCTCTGTATATCACCTTGCATATAAGACCCATACAGCTTCTGGGAAAAGTGTAACACTTAGTATGCTTCATTATTCCATTGTTGCATATTTTGGAATAAACTTTGTTTACTAACTAAAGTCCCTTGAATTATGAACTACATTTTCCTTTCTTTGGAGACCATAAGTATCTTCTACAGCTCTCCTGTGATGAGTATTTTTTCACATGCGACCTGTGTGCATGGTCAAACTTTTTAAACACTTCATGTTGTATGCTAGCAAATGGAGATATGGTATCTAGAGTTTTAAATTGGATTATTTTATCATTTCCTTAAATTCAGAAATCCGACAGGAGATACATGTTATTGTTGAAGCATGGTTAATACTTTCATGAAACAAATTCTGCTCTTCCAAGGGAAAATTCCATATATTTATCTCCTACATCTTAAAAAAAAAACAAAACAAAAAAACAAACCCCAACCCTATAAATTGATCATTTTCTCTGTATACACAAAATAAACTATAAATATGTCTTAATGACATTAGACCCTTCTTTTTCTGACACACTGCAGAGTGCCAACTACTACATGGTAGAGCAGAAGCTACAATCTGAGTCTGAGTGCTGTCTGAATCTCAGCACTGAAGGTTAAAACAGCCCACATTTAAAAAGGATAGCACTGTTACAAGGACTGAGATGGACATACCAATTTAAATCACTGCACTACCATGGCAACGGGCAAAAAAGGGAACACGATTCACAGCTGATTATTTTTATTTCAACTCTACTGAAAGAAACAGTTTCAAAACCTGATGAGGGGAAAACCAAATGCTTAACATCTTTAAGCATGAAAATGCCTCTGTTAAAGGGATCTTTCAGAAAATAAGCTTGACTTCCATTTTTCATGACAGCAGAGAAATCGTAACCAGAATTTTTATGCTAAAAGTTTAGGATCATGGAAGACATCTTCAAATGATTCAGCTACAGCAGCTTAATATCAACACTTTATCTCTACATATGCAGATACTTGCCTTGATCAATAAATGTCAACCTCTTAAAGGGAAATTTTAAAGGAAACACCTGTATCTGATTTTCAAAGATCTGTATACAAAGTGTCATTACTCAGTTCAGAGTATCAGCAAACTACACAGTTCACAGCAAACAAGCTCAATAAGCCCCAACGCAAGTGTTTCCACACTGATCTCATAATCCTACTACTTTTCACTGTCATAGGGGAAATCCAATCCTTTGCCTTGCTGGAGGGAACAGCTCTGTTCCATAAACCGAAGAATCCCGAGTTCAATCAGCAGCAGGGCTGTGCAGAGCTCCCAGCCTCTGTGCTCCCGCAGAACTCTTGAGTTTTGAGGCACTGGGGCTCAGAGTCTCCCCAGCCCATCTGGGGCTGCAGAGCTCCAGCAGACACAGGCGGTGTGTATGGTAAAGCACAATGAAGGGGATTCTCCTTACCCAAGGCAGAGTAACTCAACTTTCAATTTAGAAGAAACACTACGAAACAACTTCAATGTCCTCCCTTCTTCTGTCAATTCTGTCACCTATTGCATTTTTACCTTACAAATGAAAAAAGGACAAAAGAATTAGCCCAAAATAGACAAAATTAGCTATTTTGGATGGGAAAATTTAACATTGTCTCATGGACTGGATTATGAGCATAGTTCTGATCACTGCCTTTCCCTTCCACCGCTCAAAGACTAAAAAAAAAAAGTTATGGAACATCTTCCACACAGGGATTAATATCTGTAAAAGACTACAAAGTACAAAATCGTGTGTGGCACTGAGGAAATGCAGAGATAAGTCCTAGATGGGGACAATAGTGAGAGTCAGGATGGCTGAGCCTTTCAGAAGCACAGGATCAGAAGATTCTACAACTGTTCTCAGGCAGTAAATTGCAGAGAATCTTATAACACTGGTTAATCCACAGAAGTTCACTTCAACCTTGAAGACCCAGATGAAAATGAAAAATCAGAAATTCTGTCACTATACTTGACAACTGATCTGCAAGACCATAAGTACAATTATCCGTCCCCTTAGAAAATGTTACTGGCATGAAGAACTGCATGGCCAGCACTGCTTTGCATAAGCCCAGAGACAAAGGTCACACCACCACTCATGATGGATCAGCAACGCTGGAGAGTCTGGGAATGCCAGTGTCCAATACAACACTAATCAACTATTCCTTTCTTGAGACAGGAGCATAGGGACACTGAACTCATGGCTGGTCTGAACTAACACAGGACTGGGCTGTAAATAATTTCTGGCACTTTCACTATTATATGTGCTGCAATTATCACATTAATTTGGAGATATTAGTGGGTTTGACTTTTTTTTTTTAGATTAATATAGAAATAGTTTTTTCAAGAAACCTATTTTACAGTTTGAATATCTGGACTTCAGCAATGGGTAAGTGCACCAGTTTAAAGAGGTGGAAAAAAGTGCACAAGCCATCGAACATTGCTGGTTTCCTATTTTACATTTCACTGTACTGCTAGATTGAAACCAGTACTAAAGGAAAACACTTTTCTTGTTCAGTCATTGCAATTTTTTAATCCAACAGTCCCTTGACAATACATCTGTAGTCAGCTACTACCTACAGTAGCTAAAATCTACAATACAAGAATGCCTGCAAGCATTTTTCCCATGGATTATGAGCCATGACTTACCTAAAAACAGCTGATGAGAAACTGTGGAACATGCTAGATTTATGTCTAGGAAAATTCTCAGAGGCTGACAAGTAGATGTGTATATAGATTTACTTTCTGTTACAGGTTCCAAAAGCTTTGAGACCATCTCCATAAGTTTTGTCAGCTGCAAATTTTCATTTGCCTAATATTTCCTAGTTTCTTTGACCTGTAAGCATTCTGTTAGTTATAATAATCAAGATTTCAAAAGTAAAAACTAGTAAAAATCTCAAGAGCTGTTCTCCAAAGATATACAGAATCTTTTGCTCAAAAAGAGTTTAACAGCAATACTGTCTCTGAAGAAAAATACCTCTTCAAATATCTGTTAATTGAATGCTATTGTCTCACTCCAGGCATTAAATAGGAAGAGCTCACTGATTTGTTTGTTTGGTCCTATGAGTCAGCTGCATCTCTGCTTTTCTTTTATTCCAGACCATTCCAAATCTCTACAAATATAAGAGCTTCCCTTGAAACTGTGTTAATTTTGACACTAATTTTCAGTCAGTACACTGAGGCAGACAGTGCAGTCAAAACTTGCTATGAAAGGCTTTTCGTCTACCAGTCCTAGCCCTGCTGAGACAGAAACATACATAAACATCATCTTTTTTTCATCAAAAACCTAAAGAGATAAAAGACAATTCAAAAGGTAGCAGAGAAGAACAGAGCAAGTCACACAGTTCCAACCACTCCAGATGTAACATCACAGTCGCACTTAGGGATGTCTGAGTAGCTGCTGGCAGAAGACAGCTGAGCACACTGCCCCTGAAACCCCTGGATCTGTAGCACATCTTTCATTTACCTTTCAGAATAGCAGCTTGTCTGTCCCTGAGCAGCCTGTTTGATTTAGTATCTCCTTGCAGCAGACTGGAAACACATCCTTCTTTTTCAAACAATTCAGTCATGATTACTTAACCAGATCATAAATTGATTGGTTTATTGTACTATTTCAAAATGAAAACTTGAAGAGGTTATATTTTAATTTCTACTGGCAATGTTAAGAGCAATGTGAAAAGTTAATGGAAACTGGATTCATCCAAAACTGGAATGAATTTAAAACCA